CTCCTTTTTTTTTTTTTTTGAGACGGAGTTTCGCTATTGTTGCCCAGGCTGGAGTGCAATGGCATGATCTCGGCTCACCGCAACCTCCGCCTCCTGGGTTCAGGCAATTCTCCTGCCTCAGCCTCCTGAGTAGCTGGGATTACAGGCACATGCCACCATGCCCAGCTGATTTTTTGTATTTTTAGTAGAGACGGGGTTTCACCATGTCGACCAGGATGGTCTCGAACTCTCGACCTCGTGATTCATCCGCCTCGGCCTCCCAAAGTGCTGGGATTACAGGCTTGAGCCACCGTGCCCGGCCCGATAATACTCTTATAGTCTTTTTTTTATTTCTGTAGAGTCAATAGTAATGTTTCTACTTTCATTTCTAATTTTAGTTATTTGAGTCTTTTATTTTCTTAGTCCATCCATCTAAAAGCTTGTCAATTTTGCTTTTTTGAAGAACCATCTTTTGTTTTCATTGGTTTTTCTCTTCTCTTTTTTGTTTGTCTCTGCTCTAATCTTTATTATTTCCTTCCTTTTGCTGGCTTTGTATTGAGTTAGTTCTTCTGTTTCCAGTTCCTTAAGTTGTAAAGTTAGGGTGTTGATATGCAATCTTTCTTGCTTTTTAATGTGAGCATTTATAGCTACAAGTTTCCACCTTAGCACTGCTTTTGCCATGTCCCATAAGATTTGGTTTGTTGTCTTTTCATTTTCAATCTCTAAGCTTTTTTTTTTTTTTTTTTTTTTTTTTTAAGACAGAGTCTTGACCTGTCACCCAGGCTGGAGTGCGATGATATGATCTTCACTCACTGCAGCCTCTGCTTTTCGGGTTCAAATGATTCTCCTGCGTCAGCTTCCCGAGTAGCTGGGATTACAGGCGTGCACCACTACGCTTGGCTAATTTTGTGTATCTTTATTAGAGAGGGGGTTTCACCATGTTGGCCAGGCTGGTCTTAAACTCCTGACCTCAGGTAATCTGCCTGCCTCAGCCTCCTGAAGTGCTGGGATTATAGGCGTGAGCCACCATGCCTGGCCAATCTCTAAGTATTTTAAAATTTTCCTTGTGGTTTCTTCTTTTAACCCTATTACTTAAACACAGACATACACATTTAAAAAATATATCTACCTGCTTTTACTTATGGATCTGCAATTTCTGTTCTCTCTGCATGGAAACTTTTCTGCCAAAATATCTACATGGACTGGCTCCCTTGTTTTTTAGATTCTGCTTAAATATCACCTTCAGCACAGAAACATTCCCTAACTACCCTAAAATCACAACCAACTATCTTCCCCCTTCAACACTCCCTGTCCTCCTTAACTGCTTTCTTTTCTTTTCTTTTTTTTTTTTTGACACAGAGTCTTGCTCTGTTGCCTAGGTCTGGAGTGCAGTGGCACAATCTTGGCTCACTGCAACTTCTGCGTCAGCCTCTCAAATAGCTGGGAGTACTGTACCCACCACCATGCCTGGATAATTTTTGAATTTTTTTTTTTTTGAGATGGAGCCTCACTCTGTTGCCCAGGCTGGAGTGTAATGGTACAGTCTTGGCTCACTGCAACCTCTGCCTCCCAGATTCCAGCAGTTTCTGGCTAATTTTTGTAGTTTTAGTAGAGATGAGACTTCACCACATTGGCCAGGCTGTTCTTGAAATTCTGACCTCAAGTGATCTGCCCACCTTGGCTTCCCAAAGTACTAGGATTACAGGTATGGGCCACTATGCTTGACCTAATTTTTTTTTTTTTTTGAGATGGAGTCTCATTCTGTCACCTAGGCTGGAGTGCAGTGCTGCTATCTTGGCTCACGGTAACCTCTGTTTTAGCCTCTCAAGTATTTGGGACTACAGATACCTGCCATCACCCCCAGCTAATTTTTTATGTATTTTTAGTAGAGGTGGGGTTTCACTATATTGGCCAGGCTGGTCTCAAACTCGTCACCTTGTGATCTGCCCGCCTTGGCCTCCCAAAGTGCTGGGATTATAGGCGTGAACCACCGCACCTGGCTAATTTTTATATTTTTAATAGAGCTGGGGTTTCACTGTGTTGGCCAGGCTGGTCTCAAACTCCTTACCTCAAGTGATCTGCCCACCTTGGCCTCTCAAAATGCTAGGATTATAGGCGTGAGCCACTGTGCCTGGCCTAATTTTTGTATTTTTATAGAGATGGGGTTTCACCACGTTGGCCAGGCTGGTCTCAAACTCCTGACCTCAAGTGATCTGCCCACCTCAGTCTCCCAAAGTGCTAAGGTTATAGGCATGAGCCACCGTGTCCAGCCTGCTTTATTTTCATTTCTAATTGATCAGCATCTAATATATTTATTCATTTGATAGTTATCTCTTCCTTCTCTCAACTGAGTTAACAGCTCCCTGAGCACAGGATTTTGATTTTTTTCTTTCCTTTAACTTTGGTATTGTTCATTGCTATCTCTCCAGTGTCTAGAAAAGAACCTATCACGTAATAAGTACTTGATGAATATTTGTGGAATTAATTAATTTAGCACTTCTCCGAAGGAGAAGGTTTTTGGTTTTTTTTTTTCGAGATAGAGTCTCACTCTATTGCCCAGGCTGGAGTGCAGTGGTGCCATCTCGGCTTATTGCAGTCTCCACCTCCCAGGTTCAAGTGATTCTCCTGCCTCAGCCTCCCAAGTAGCTGGAGTTACAGGCGTGTACCACCATGCCTGGCTAATTTTTGTATTTTTAGTAGAGACAGGATTTCACCATTTTGGCTAGGCTGGTGTCTAACCCCTGACCTCGTGATCCACCTGCCTTGGCCTCCTAAAGTGCTGGGATTATAGGCGTGAGCCACTGCACCTGGCCTAGGACTTGGGTTTTTTTAAATCCTCAATCTCCCTTCCCTCGCAATTTTGATTGTTTGCATTTTTATGTAACTGTAGTGAAGCAGCAAATTGATGGATTTGCTAGTGTGATCAGCAGAAACTTTGCAATTTCTTTTTTTTTTAAGACAATTTTTTTGGATTTATTTATCCTTTTTATTTTATTTTTATTTTTATTTTTGGCTCACTGCAACCTCCGCCTCCCGGATTCAAGCAATTCTCTTGCCTCAGCCTCCTAAGTAGCTGGGATTGCAGGCATGTGCTGCCACGCCCAGCTAATTTTTGTATTTTTAGTAGAGACAGAGTTTTACCACATTGGCTGGGACGATCTCTATCTCCTGACCTTGTGATCTGCCCACCTCAGCCCCCCAAGTTCAACTTTGCAATTTCTAGTAAGTTAGAGAAGTCTGGGTAGGAAAATAATAGCTTGGCAGTTCTCCTTCTTAGAGTACAGATAGTCCCTAAAGCTTCTCTGGGAGTTTTGATAACTTTTAGGAATGTGTGATCTGTATGAATTTTCAATTACTCGGTCCTGGCAACGTGAATCGTATTCATTTGGTAACTTAATTATATGTTCAGGCAAGATACTAGTTTAGGTCTCTTTCCAAAAATAATAGACTAATTGGAAAAGCTTTAGCCATGTGAGAGCAATTCACTCCACTTGATGCTCTTGGCCTACCTCAGTATAAGTTGGTTCTGCCTTAGTTTTGTTGAATTTTTAATCTTACTGTACATTCATGTGGATTATCTGCATTGTGTAGGTTTTAGTACAGTTGGCAAATGACAGCATTACCCAATACTACCTGGGAGTAAAGTTTCCCAGGATAACAGATTTGGTCGTCTGATCACTCAGAAGTATGCTCAGAGTGGGCTATGCCAGGGGAAATTTAGGTATCCTTCTTAAATAAATAGCAATTTGGTTTATCTAGTGATAAGGGGAAAATAATTTCCTGTTTGGCACTTTCTCCAAAATGTATGATACTCAATGGGAAAAATGAACTCAGGTCAAGATTATGTCTCTCCCTTTGGCCCAGACATGTATTGAGTATATAGTTATCTTATTGATGCTACTCTGTGGACTGTGGTTCTTTTTAGCTTTCCCATAATTCCTCTTAGGATGACATTTATTACGTAATGTAGTTTAATAAATGTTTGAGAACCTACTGTGTGCTAGGCATGGTAGTTGGTGCTGAGGAAACAGTAAACTAGACAGAATTTCTTTCCTTAGTGACCTGAAGTCTAGTGGGTAACACATAAAAAAAAAAAGAGAGATGATGTTTAGAAAGGGTGTATAAAGGGTGCTATAGGAATATATAGCAAATATTTAATGTGGTCTTGGTTGGTGTGGGTTGGGGGGGGGCTCTTAAGATGGAAAGGGCTTCCTAAAGAAATGATCTTTTCAACCAAATAAGTATTCAGGCATTTTTATAGAATGAGGACTCTTGATCCAGTTGGCTTGGGTAGTGTAGCCCTTCTGTGCCTATTCACTCATTTGAAAAATGGGGCTAGTAATACTGCCAACCTCACAATGTTGTGTGGACAAACTGAGTGAGCACATGTAAAGCACTTGAAACAATGAGTACCTGGCACATAGTAAGTACTCAACTTGTTAGTCATTATTTTTATATATATTTTATTTTGTGCCAAGTATCCACTGGCAGATTAGTATTTTGAACACAAGTTTGACATGTTTTTTCCACTACATCATAACCTAACTTGATCAGATAAGAATAGTAGAAACAGAGTTCTGAAAAATAAGTTTGGCATTCTTTACAAGTTAAAACCTGTTAGTAGCCGGGCACAGTGTCTCACATCTTAATCCTAACACCCTGGGAAGCTGAGGTGGGATATCACTTGAGCCTAGAAGTTTGAGACTAGTGTGTGTAACACAGTGGGACCCCATCTCTACCATCAAAACAAAACAATTCTATTAGTATCTACTCTAAGAAACTGCTAGAATTGTAATGTTTTATGTATCTTTGAACATTCAAAAAACTGTATTTGTGAAACTTGAGACACTTATAATTTTGCTATCTGCTTTAGTAGTATCATTTAGTCCTGATTTAATCCCCGTCACCAATAGTATGGTCAGAACTTCACATTTTTTTTGACTAATGTAGTTAGTGAAAAATGTCACTGATAACATGATAACTAAGAGTTCCTGAATGACCTTGTGCGTTTCTTTTTATAGACCATTTAATTCGTCAGAGCGGAAAGCTAGCGCCCATTCAATAGTAGAATGTGATCCTGTACGAAAAGAAGTTAGTGTACGAACTGGAGGATTGGCTGACAAGAGCTCGAGGAAAACATATACTTTTGATATGGTAATATATGGTGCAATTTCTTGATTATTCACTAATGTAAAATAATTTTAATATACATATTTCCCCTGGAAAATGGTATATACTTAGAAATTTCATTTGTCTCTTTGAATTGTCAGATGGCTTCTAGTAGGCTGAATTATGAATTAGTTAACATACAAAAACCAAAATTATTAATTCATATATAATATATTTTATAATTATTAAAATAGAATAAGTAATATTGAGGTGTTTTTTTTTAAATTCTTTTATTTGATAGGTATTTGGAACATCTACTAAACAGATTGATGTTTACCGAAGCGTTGTTTGTCCAATTCTGGATGAAGTTATTATGGGCTATAATTGCACTATCTTTGCGTAAGTAAAACACTGTTTTTTCAGGTTTATGAAAAAGCTTAAATGCGTGGCTTTGTTTTGTTTTTTAGATGGAGTTTTGTTCTTGTTGCCCAGGCTGGAGTATAATAGTGCAATCTCGGCTCTCTGCAACCTCTGCCTCCTGGGTTCAAGTGATTCTCCTGTCTCAGCCTCCCAAGTAGCTGGGATTACGGGTACCCACCACTATACCCGGCTAATTTTTTGTATTTTTAGTAGAGACAGGATTTCACCATGTTGGCCAGGCTGGTCTTGAACTCCTGATCCTGACCTCAGGTTATCCACCCTCCTCGGCTTCCCAAAGTGCTGGGATTACAGGCGTGAGCCACCATGCCCAGCCTGTTTTTTGTTTGTTTTTTAGACAGAGTCTCACTCTGTAGCCCAGACTGGAGTGCAGAGGTGTTGTCTCTCCTCACTGCAACTTCCACCTCCCAGGTTCAGGTGATTCTCATGCCTTAGCCTCTCAAGTAGCTGGGATTACAGGTGCGCACCACTGGACCTGGCTAATTTATATATATATATATATATATATATATATATTTTTTTTTTTTTTTTTTTTTTTTTTTGAGATGGAGTTTCGCTCTTGTTACCCAGGCTGGAGTGCAATGGCGCAATCTCAGCTCACCGCAACCTCCGCCTCCTGGGTTCAGGCAATTCTCCTGCCTCAGCCTCCGGAGTAGCTGGGATTACAGGCACGCGCCACCATGCCCAGCTAATTTTTTGTATTTTAGTAGAGACGGGGTTTCACCATGTTGACCAGGATGGTCTCGATCTCTTGACCTCGTGATCCACCCGCCTCGGCCTCCCAAAGTGCTGGGATTACAGGCTTGAGCCGCCGCGCCCAGCCGTATGTTTGTTTTTGATTTATCACTTACTAATCTTGACAGGTATGGCCAAACTGGCACTGGAAAAACCTTTACAATGGAAGGCGAAAGGTCACCTAATGAAGAGTATACCTGGGAAGAGGTATTTATTGTTTATAACATATTTTTATCTCTAATGTGTTTGAAATTTAACTGGATAAAACTTGTTTGAGGGCCTCTGTCTTGAAATAGAGAAGATCAGAGTACTTGTGTCAAAATTAATTTAGGGTAAACCACTACTTCAGTAAAATTAAAGTGCATGGTATGATTCCTGTTTAAGAAACAGCCAGGGAGAGGAAGGACCGATATATATGGCACAGTTATGTGATGAAAGAGGGGTCTATTTACAACAGAATGGTTAGAGCAGAATATTGTAGAAAAGTTGGAGTATGAGTGAGGCTTGAAGGCAGGGAGGGCTTTGTACTGAAGGAATGAGTCTCAAAACATTAGCATGGCCAGAGGAAGTATAGTACTATATTCATGACGATCTTAAGTGTTCATGAAATTAAGACAAAGGTATTATTTAATATTGAGAAAGCATAAACTACATTTTACAAAGATTTCCATGGGTTTAAGTGAGTTTAATAACTAAAGGAGAGAACCAATTCTGGAAGAATGTTGAAAGAAAAACAAAGACAAGTTGAACTACAGCTGAAGTATTAAAACTTTTTAAAAAAAGTTTAGTTTTGGGCTGGGCGCGGTGGCTCAAGTCTGTAATCCCAGCACTTTGGGAGGCCGAGGCGGGTGGATCACGAGGTCAGGAGATTGAGACCATCCTGGTCAACGTGGTGAAACCCCGTCTCTACTAAAAATACAAAAAAATTAGCTGGGCATGGTGGCACGTGCCTGTAATCCCAGCTACTCGGGAGGCTGAGGCAGGAGAATTGCCTGAACCCAGGAGGCGGAGGTTGCGGTGAGCTGAGATTGCGCCATTGCACTCCAGCCTGGGTAACAAGAGCGAAACTCCATCTCAAAAAAAAAAAAAAAAAAAAAAAAGTTTAGTTTTAAATTTAGTAATGTGTTTAACTTAAATGAGTTTAATAACTAGTTAATTGGCTGGGCACGGTGGCTCACACCTATAATCCTAGAACTCTGGGAGGCCAAGACAGGCGGATCACTTAAGATTAGCAGTTTGAGACCAGCCACGCCAACATGGTGAAACTTGGTCTCTACTAAAAATACAGAAATTAGCCTGACATGGTGGCATGTAACTGTAATTTCAGCTACCTAGGGGCTGAGGCAAGAGAATCGCTGAAACCCAGGAGGTGGAAGCTGCAGTGAGCTGAGATGGTGCTACTGCACTCCAGCCTGGGCAATAGAACAAGACTCTGTCTCAAAAAAAAATTGATTAATTTTCCGCCCCAACATTTTTTTTTTTTAAGTGGTGAGGTCTCACTATGTTGCCCAGGCTGGTCTTGAGCTCTTGGGTTTAAGGAGCCCAAGAGTTCAAGACCTCCCACCTCAACCTCCTGAGTAGCTGTTACAGGCACATACTACCTTGCCTGGCCAATTTTCCAAATTATTGATATTTGGGTAGATCCTTTCTTCTAGTGGTTACGTAATTGAGACATTAACTTATTTTACATATGGATAATAAAGTTATGAAATTGTAACCATAGGAGATATGGAATAGGCTTAAAGCATAGTTTAGTGGGTCAGAATTAATGAATTTGGCTTTATAAGTAGATGAGTTCCATTGGTTTCCATGTGATGCTCAGGCATGAAGATGGCTAAGAAGTATGACAGGTTTATGGAGGGTGTGAAGACTACTGTTGAACAGACTGTTGTAAGTGACTTCTTTAACATTAAGTTGTTTTTTTGTTTTGTTTTGTTTTAACTTAGTTTACTATATTTATGTTTAAATATATTATAAAGGAAGTCCATATATTTTAACTGCCACAGTAAATGACGTTCTTCCTTTATATTAGTCCTTTTATAATTTCAGGATCCCTTGGCTGGTATAATTCCACGCACCCTTCATCAAATTTTTGAGAAACTTACTGATAATGGTACTGAATTTTCAGTCAAAGTGTCTCTGTTGGAGATCTATAATGAAGAACTTTTTGATCTTCTTAATCCGTCTTCTGACGTTTCTGAGAGACTACAGATGTTTGATGATCCCCGTAACAAGGTAATTCAGTCTTTGAGAATGAAATGTCTCTGAATTTTAATGTGTGAGGCTTTGAGAAGTTGGGGCAGTGGGGGTGCAGGTGCAGAGAGAGAGAGAGAGAGAGAGAGAGAGAGTGTGTGTGTGTGTATGTATGTGTGTGTGTGTGTGTACACATGTGCTTTAACGAATCTAATGGATGTTCTTTTGGTATTTTGGTCAGAGAGGAGTGATAATTAAAGGTTTAGAAGAAATTACGGTACACAACAAGGATGAAGTCTATCAAATTTTAGAAAAGGGGGCAGCAAAAAGGACAACTGCAGCTACTTTGATGAATGCATACTCTAGGTAAGAAAGCCATAGTCTCTTCCCTAGCGCCATTTTCTTTTAAGAAGAGTTAGGAACTTGGAGAAAGTCAGACTGGGATGGGTCAAGGTACGTGGGTCACATGCTTAGATTTTGTGTTATAAGGAGGGGTTGTTGGTAATTGGCTTGAGATTTATAGTGAAGGGCCCAATATTGGAAGAATGTTAAAAGAACAAAGATAACTTGAACCATAGCTGAAGTATTAAACTTTTTTAAAGTAGAAGAATCCTTTTGTTCTAGTGATATCATATATGGAAGCCCAGGATAAAATGTGGCTGCTATAGTTGATTTTGGTATGGGACGCTCAGAGGCTTACCTCCTTAGCCTTATGAACGGGTCCCTGAGACACTTTTGTGTGGCCCCCTACTAATATTAGAATATAGCTTGAAAACCCTTGCTTTGAATAGGGATTGGAAGAAGTCAGCTCTTTTAAAATGGCTTCATTTTAATGTGGGAGACAGATGGTCACTAACACTATCTTTCATGGGGTGAAAGGGATGATTTTTTTTCCCTCTAAATATCTTTTATTGAAATACAAAATTTCTTTTTAAAAATTGTTTATTTTCTTCTCCTACCACTCTATTCAGTGAAATATAAAATTCCTATCTTAAATTTACGTAAGTTGTTGCTTCTCAGCCTTTTGGCTAAGATCAAGTGTAGTAAATTTACATAAGTTAGGAACTCCTTTATTCTCATAAAGACCCCTATAGGACAAATTTACAAATTCTATAAATATAGTTTACTAAAACAGGTTTTTGTGTGTGTGTGTATGGTCTTTGAAAGAAACATCAGAATGTAATAGAAAAAGCAGTGGATTGGGAATTAGATATTGTGTGTAGTCTCAGTTTTGCAGTTAATTCAGTATGTGACTTTGGGTAAATAAGTGAATTTATCTGCTTATCAGTTTCTCTGAGCTACAAAATGATTGTTAGGATTAGAAGTCTTATTTCTTTGTTTGCGTATGGTTGAAAATTTCTACAAAAATGCCATAACAATTATAGTTGCAACTCTAAAAAAAGTTTGCATTTAAAGCAAGAAGAAAAATATACCATAAAAGTTATTAAGATCATGGAATTTTGGATGATTTCAAAATTTTAATTAAATTTTCACTATAATGGCTTTCCAATAAAATGGAAATTTTATTCTGTGGTTGATTTATAACTTAATTTCATGTAGAATTTAGAGAACTGAACTGAAGAGTAGGTAAAATTTCTTTAGGTACATTTCACTAAAATATAAAATTTCTATTTTTCCTTTTTTCTTGTATGTAGACTTGTAAAGGTCACTTTTTATGAATGTATGTGACAAAGAGAAGTTAATTCAGTTTTCCCAAATTGAAGCTGACTTCAATGCTTATTTGTATTAATTCCCTAATGTGGATTAGGAATGGATAGATAATGGTAGAAAATCATGAGATGAATATTATAATTCAGATCTATAGTTTACATTTATGTTCTTCCTTCTACCTTCCTCTTTTTCTGTAATTTTAAATAATTTAAATAATTTTTATAAAAATAATACTTTATTTATTTATTTATTTTGAGACACAGTTTCGCTCTTGTTGCCCTGGCTGGAGTGCAATGATGCGATCTCAGCTCACTGCAAACCTCCTGGTTTCAGTAATTCTCCTGCCTCAGCCTCCTGAGTAGCTGGGATTACAGGTGCACGCTACCACGCCCACTAATTTTTTTTTTTTTTTTTTTTTTTTAGTAGAGATAGGGTTTCACCATGTTGGTCAGGCTGGTCTCAAACTCCTGACTGTGTGATCTGCCTGCCTTGGCCTCCCAAAGTGCTGGGATTACAGGCGTGAGCCACCTTGCTCGGCCTTAATTTTTTTTTAAGTAACAAGAAAGCGCAAAGAAGAAAATTGAAACTTACCATATTCTCTGTAAACTGTCAACAGCATTAACAAACAATGTTCACCAAATGCCACTGGGTATAGAAAAAATGTCTTTAGTCATCTGTATAATTTTTTTTCCCCCTAAGATAAGAGAAGAGTATTTGTTTTTTGGTTTTTGGTTTTTTTTCCAAAGCTCTGTATACTCTGAAGATTTTTGTTTTTTTGTTTGGTTAGTTTTGAGACTGAGTGTCACTCTGTCACCTAGGCTGGAGTGCAGTGACTCAATCATGGCATACTGCAGCCTTCACCTCCTGGGCTAAAGTGATCCTCCCACCTGAGCCTCCAGGGTAGCTGGAACTGTAGGAGCATGCCACCATACCCAGCTAATTTTAAAATGTTTTGTAGAGATGGAGGTCCCTCTGTGTTGCCCAGGCTGGTTTCAGACTCCTGGGTTCAAGTGGCCTTCCTACCTTGACCTTCCAAAGTGTAGGGAATAGAGGCATGAGCTACTGCCCCTGGCCTCAATATCAGTATTTGGCATAAGGTAGACTTTTGAACATTTTATAATTTAGCAGTGATTATCTTGTTGTGTTTTAGTAATCATGCTGTTTACTATTTCTGCTGTTAGGGGAGAGGAGTCACCTATTTCTAATGACAGTCTCACAGCAGAGAAATGTACTTGTGCATGTACAATGGGGAGGTGGGAGAGTATACTAACGACTTGCTTGGTGCCATTTGAATTTATGGTAATGACATATTTCAAATGGTTCTTATGAATAGGAAGATTGATTGCAAGCTATCTCTTCTTGACATAATCAGGCAACTATTTCAACGCCACCTACATCCAGCTTTCAGAGGTACCTCAGGATTCTAAGTCTTTGGTTTTTTTTTTTTGGAGACAGAGTCTCACTCTGTTGCCCAGGCTGGAGTGCAATGGCATGATCTCAGCTCACTGCAACCTCCACTTTCCTGGTTCAAGTGATTCTCCTGCCTTGGCCTCGAGAGTAGCTGGGATCACAGGCACCTGCCACCACGCCCAGCTAATTTTTGTATTTTTAGTAGAGACGAGGTTCACAATGTTGGCCAGACTGGTCTAAAATTCTTGACCTTTGGTGATCCACCACCTTGGCCTTCTAAAGTGCTGAGATTACAGGCATGAGCCACTGCGCCCCTGGCCAGATTCTATGTCTTTTGGGGTTTTTTTTGAGGTAGCTTCTTATTGATGTCTCTTTAGCAGGCAGAAGATATGAGAAAGCAACCTGATCATCTATCCATCTCCTATCTTCCAAAATCTTGTTATCTCCTGTCTGATGTTATCTTTCTCTACCCTTATGTATTTAGATCTTCCTTTCCTGTTTTCAGTATTTCAGAAACAGCAAATACTGTTGTACATTATAATGACTGGGCAACTTGATATTGTTTTCTAGTCGTTCCCACTCAGTTTTCTCTGTTACAATACATATGAAAGAAACTACAATTGATGGAGAAGAGCTTGTTAAAATTGGAAAGTTGAACTTGGTAAGCATATACCTTAATACCACCGATTCATTCTTAAAAACCTCATAGAGCAGCTTGAAATTTTGTACTTGAGACAAATTTTTGTGGTCACTGGGTGATTGATTAGCTTTGTAGTGGGAGGAGAAATTTGTTAATTATAGAAACATTATTTTGCTGGCTATTTAATATATTATGTATACTATGAGAATGAAAGTCTTTTTTTTTTTTTTTGGAGACGGAGTTTCGCTCTTGTTACCCAGGCTGGAGTACAATGGTGCAGTCTCGGCTCACCGCAACCTCCACCTCCTGGGTTCAAGCAATTCTCCTGCCTCAGCCTCCTGAGTAGCTGGGATTACAGGCACACACCACCATGCCCAGCTAATTTTTTGTATTTTTAGTAGAGACGGGGTTTCACCTTGTTGACCAGGATGGTCTTGATCTCTCGACCTCGTGATCCACCCGCCTCGGCCTCCCAAAGTGCTGGGATTACAGGCTTGAGCCACCGCGCCAGCCTGAGAATGAAAGTCTTTGAATCCAAATCCAATAGACTCACTTTTTATTTTTATTTTTAAAATTAAAGGTTGATCTTGCAGGAAGTGAAAACATTGGTCGTTCTGGAGCTGTTGATAAGAGAGCTCGGGAAGCTGGAAATATAAATCAATCCTTGTTGACTTTGGGAAGAGTTATTACTGCTCTTGTAGAAAGAACACCTCATGTTCCTTATCGAGAATCTAAACTAACTAGAATCCTCCAGGATTCTCTTGGAGGGCGTACAAGAACATCTATAATTGCAACAATTTCTCCTGCATCTCTCAATCTTGAGGTAAGCACTTTGAAAGGAAGCTGCAAGTATGGCAGCTATAATCCTTATTTAGCTGTTATGTATTTTAAAACTTCTTTTACTAGGCTGGGCACAGTGGCTCACGCCTGTAATCCAGAACTTTGGAAGTCCTAGGTGGGCGGATCACTTGAGCTCAGGAGTTCGAGACCAGGTTGGACAACAGGGCGAAACCCTGTCTCTAGCAAAAATACACAATGTTAGCCGGGTTTGGTGGTGTGCTCCTAAGGTCTCAGCTACTTGGGAGGCTGAGGTGGGAGGATCACTTGAGCCTGGGAGGTGGAAGTTGCATTGAGCTGAGATCATGCTACTACACTGCAGCCTGGGTGACAGAGTGAGACCCCATCTCAAAAAAAAAAAGTATAAAAAAAAAGTTTCTTTATTAGCTTCATTCATTCTATGCTACAGTGTAAAAGAATCTGGACGTTGCATATGAACATATACAGGAGGACACTCCTGAAAAGTTATGTTTGTCCTTCCTGGCAGAGTTTTTTTTTTTTTTTTTTTGAGACGGAGTTTCGCTCTTGTTACCCAGGCTGGAGTGCAATGGCGCGATCTCAGCTCACCGCAACCTCCGCCTCCTGGGTTCAGGCAATTCTCCTGCCTCAGCCTCCTGAGTAGCTGGGATTACAGGCACGTGCCACCATGCCCAGCTAATTTTTTGTATTTTTAGTAGAGACGGGGTTTCACCATGTTGACCAGGATGGTCTCGATCTCTTGACCTCGTGATCCACCCGCCTCGGCCTCCCAAAGTGCTGGGATTACAGGCTTGAGCCACCGCGCCCGGCCCCTGGCAGACTTTTTAACCTTACACTTGATCTTAGCCAAAAGGCTGAGAAATGATGTTTTTAACCTAAAAAGCCAGTATCTTAATGGATTTTCCCACACAGTCTTCAAAGAAAATTGCTGTGGTCATTATCAGTGGGTGGTGTGTCGAGATTTAATTGAGGACTTAGAAGCAGTTCTAATGAGTGCTCGCTAGTGTTATAGAGGCTGCTTAGAGAACATTGAAGATGGAATTGGATGTGTGGGAACAGAGGAAAAACCAAGAGAAGCAACAAAGATGGTGGTAAAATGTACTCTTATTTTATTGCTATCGTCTGCCTTAAGTGTAGTTTTTATCTATTTATTTATTTATTTTTATTATTTATTTATTTTTTTTTGAGATGGAGTTTCGCTCTTGTTACCCAGGCTGGAGTGCAATGGCGTGATCTCGGCTCACCGCAACCTCTGCCTCCTGGGTTCAGGCAATTCTCCTGCCTCAGCCTCCTGAGTAGCTGGGATTACAGTACAGGCACGCGCCACCATGCCCAGCTAATTTTTTGTATTTTCAGTAGAGACGGGGTTTCATCATGTTGACCAGGATGGTCTCGATCTCTTGACCTCGTGATCCACCCGCCTCGGCCTCCCAAAGTGCCGGGATTACAGGCTTGAGCCACCGCGCCCAGCCTATTTATTTATTTTTTATTTTTAGAGGTAGAGTCTTATACTGTTGCCTAGGCTGCAGTATAGTAGCATGACCATGGCTCACTGCAACCTTAAATTACTGGACTCAAGTGATTTCCCCCCACCCCAGCCTCCTGAGTAGCCAGTACTACAGGTGTGAACCACCAGGCCTGGCTAAGTTTTTTTTGTTTTTAAATAGAGACAGAGGTCTCACTATGTTACCCAGACTGGTCTTGACCTCCTGGGTTCAAGGAATCCTCCTACCTCAGCTTCCCGAAGTGCTGTGATTATAGGCATGAGCCACCTTGCTTGACCTAAATGAAGTTTAAAAACCTTCTTTAAGGTCTCCAACTTCCCCTTCATTTAAAAAAGAAAAAAACAATTTTATTGAGATTTAATTCACATATCATAAAATTCATCGCTTGAGTTCAGGAATTGAAGGTTTCAGTGAGCCATGATCATGCTACTGTACTGCAACCTGGGCAATAGTGTGAGACTCTACCTCTAAAAATAAAAAAAAAGGCCGGGTGTGGTGGCTCACACCTGTAATCCCAGCACTTTGGGAGGCCGAGGCAGGCAGATCACTTGAGGTCAGGAGTTTGAGACCAGCCTGACCAATGTGGTGAAACTCTGTCTCTACTGAAAATACAAAAAATTAGCTAGGAGTGGTGGCAGGCACCTGTTAACCCCAGATACTTGGGAGGCTGAAGCAGGAGAATCACTTGAACCTGGAAGGCGGAGGTTGAAGTGAGCTGAGATCGCACCACTGCACTCCAGCCTGGGTGACAGAGTGAGACTCGGTCTCAAAAAAATAGTGTGTGTGTGTGTGTGTGTGTGTGTGTGTGTGTGTGTATGTGTGTGTGTGTAAGATATTTAATTAATATAATTTATTATACTCATTACTAATTTAATAATTTTAGTATGTTTACAGAGTTGTCCAACTGTCACCAAAATCAAAGTTTTGAACATTTTCATTTTCATAACCCCAGAAAGAAAGCCTGTACCCACTGAATTCAGTTTCCATCTGCCCCACTCCCAGCTCTAGGTCACTACTGATTTTTGCATCTATATATTTGCCTATTCTGGATGTTTCATGTAAATAGAATTAAGTAATATGTAGTTTTTTGTGACTGGCTTCTTTCACTTAGCATAATGTTTTCAAGGTTGATCTGTATTGTAACAGCAATACTTTATTCCTTTTTATGAGTGAATAATCTATGTATGGATATAGGACATTTTGTTCATTCATCAGTTAGTTGGTAGATTCATTGAGGTTGTTTTTTGTTTTTTGTTTTTGAGACAGAGTTTCGCTCTTTTTACCTAGGCTGGAGTGCAATGGCGCGGTCTCGGCTCACCGCAACCTCCGCCTCCTGGCTTCAGGCAATTCTCCTGCCTCAGCCTCCTGAGTAGCTGGGATTACAGGCATGCGCCACCATGCCCAGCTAATTTTTTGTATTTTTAGTAGAGACGGGGTTTCACCATGTTGACCAGGATGGTCTCAATCTCTTGACCTCATGATCCACCCGCCTCGGCCTCCCAAAGTGCTGGGATTACAGGCATGAGCCACCACGCCCAGCCATTGAGGTTTTTAAAATTTTTATTATTTTTATTATTTTGAGACAAGGTCTCTTTGCTGCCCAGGCCGGAGTCCAGTGGCATAGTCACTGCAACCTCAACCTCCTGGGCTCAAGTGATTCCCCCTACTTGGGAGTCCCACCCTTATACTCCCAAGTTGGTGGGACTATAGGCACACACTACCATGCCCAGCTAATTTTTATTTTTTTATGTGTTTTTTGTAGAAACAGGGTCTCTCTATGTTGCCCAGGCTGATCTCGAACTCCTAGGTTCAAGTGACCCTAGGAGGCCTTGGCTTCCAAGGTGCTGGGATTACAAATAGGAGCCATCATTGAGTTTAAGAATAGTCTAAAGGAAATTATCCTAAGGGTCAAGACCCTGAAGATTGAAAAGAATGGAAAAAAGGATTGAACAACTTCCTTTTTAAAGGTTGGCCATAGTGGTCTTAATGACTAGATTTTAAAATCAGATATAACTGTAAAATATTACTTGTAAGTTATTGTATAACATAGTTTAGATAACAGAACTACATTATTCTCACAATATCTTCAGTAATTGACCTTTCCTTTCCATGACAGGAAACTCTGAGTACATTGGAATATGCTCATAGAGCAAAGAACATATTGAATAAGCCTGAAGTGAATCAGAAACTCACCAAAAAAGCTCTTATTAAGGTAATTGTGAATTATTGTAGAGTAATGTAATCTTATTTGACAAATGTGAAAAGTGGGGAAACTGAAGCGGGAGGTAATTATTAAACAAGATTTGAAATTGCCCATGGAAGGATCTTTTTTTTTTTTTAATTGCATTTTAGGTTTTGGGGTACATGTGAAGAACATGCAAGATTGTTGCATAGGTACACACATGGCAGTGTGGTTCGCTGTCTTCCGTCCCCCACCTGTATCTGTCATTTCTCCCCATGCTATCTCTTCCCACCTTCCCACCCCCCCGTCCTTCCCCCATTTTCCCCCAACGGACCCCAGTGTGTAGTGCTCCCCTCCCTGTGTCCATGTGTTCTCATTGTTCAACACCCGCCTATGAGTGGGAAGGATTTTTTTTTTTTTTTTTTGAGACGGAGTTTCGCTCTTGTTACCCAGGCTGGAGTGCAATGGCGCGATCTTGGCTCACCGCAACCTCCGCCTCCACCTCCTGGGCTCAGGCAATTCTCCTGCCTCAGCCTCCTAAGTAGCTGGGATTACAGGCACGTGCCACCATGCCCAGCTAATTTTTTGTATCTTTAGTAGAGACGGGGTTTCACCATGTTGACCAGGATGGTCTCGATCTCTCGACCTCGTGATCCACCCGCCTCAGCCTCCCAAAGTGCTGGGATTACAGGCTTGAGCCACCACGCCCGGCTGGGAAGGATTTTTATGTAGTAAACTAAGTATCTTACATGTTAACATATTTGTGTTAACCCATTGTAGTTGTTATCCTCACTGATGCTCAAATTGGCTCATCTCTGGCCAGGGGTATATTAATCTGTTTTCATGCTGTTGATAAGGACATACCCAAGACTGGGCAATTTACAAAATAAAGAAGTTTAATGGACTTAACGGTTCCACATGGCTGGGAAGGCCTCATAATCATCGCAGAAGACAAGGAGGAGCAAGTCACATCTTAGGTGGATGGCAGCAGGCAAAGAGAGAGCTTGTGTGGAGAAACTGCCCATTTTAAAACCATCAGATCTCTTGAGACCCATTCACTATCATGAGAACAGCACAGGAAAGATCTGCCCCCATGATTCACTCATTTCCTACTAGGTGCCTCCCACAACCTGTGGGAATTATGGGAGCTACAAGATGAGATTTGGGTGAGGACACAGAGCCAAACTATATCAAGGGGGTACCTCTTTAAGTGGCTTGAGTCCTTTTCGTTAGCCCAGTAGGCTTTGCTTAGCTTCTTTCCTGTCTTAATTGACAAGATGTTTGGTGTTCATCTTGAATATTTCCTGCCTCAGTCCTAGAATCAGATGCTTTTCTAAGGAATCCTCGTTCATTTTAGTGTGAAACACTGCTACCAACCTGGGTACTGGAGGTTGTGTTTTTTCTAGGAAAGTCTATATATTTAGAATGAGTGCATTTAAAGGAGCCTTGAAAGACCTTTTTTTAATTTTTATTTTAACTTTAATTTTTATTGAGACATTTTAGCTCTGTTGCCCAGGCTGGAGTACAATGGCACAATCTTGGCTCAATGCAACCTCCACCTCCCAGGTTCAAGTGGTTCTCCTGCCTGAGCCTCTTGAGTAGCTGGGATTATAGGCACGCACCCCCATACCCACCTAATATTGTATTTTCAGTAGAGATGGGAGTTTCTCCATGTTGGTCAGGCTGGTCTCGAACTCTTGACCTCAGGTGATTGTCTGCCTCGGCCTCCCAAAGTGCTGGGGTCACAGGTGTGAGCCACTGCGCCCAGCCAAAAGACTTTATTTCTAAACAAATTAACACTGATTTAAAAATAGAGTTATAACTTTTTATCATACTTCTTTATGTTTTAAAAGACATAAAAAGGCTAACTTTGTTTTATTTGATGCATATCCTTCCCAAACGGAATGAAAAAAGTACTAAACTGACACCTAGAACATTCCTTTTGTGTAGGAGTATACGGAGGAGATAGAGCGTTTAAAACGAGATCTTGCTGCAACTCGCGAGAAAAATGGAGTGTACATTTCTGAAGAAAATTTTAGGTAAGCCCTTGGCTATGGAGTTAATTTCCAAGAATAAGCATTTTCTGATAACAGGCTGTTTGAAGTAAAACTTACTTTTGTAGCAGTAAGTAAAATCTTTATACCAAGCACCGGTAAATTCTGTGTGTGTGTGTGTGTGTGTGTGTGTGTGTGTGTGTGTGTGTGTGTGTGTGTGTTTGTGTGTTTGTTTCCTTTTTGAGACAGGGTCTTGCTCTGTCACCCACCCAGATTGCAGTGCAGTGGCATGATCTTGGATCGCTACAGCCTCAATCTCCTGGGCTTAAGCGATCTTCCTGCCTCAGCCTCCCAAGTAGATAGGACTACAGGCATGTGCCACCACACCCAGCTAATTTTCGCATTTCTTTTTTTTTTTTTTTTTTTTTGAGACGGAGTTTCGCTCTTGTTACCCAGGCTGGAGTGCAATGGCGTGATCTCAGCTCACCGCAACCTCCGCCTCCTGGGTTCAAGCAATTCTCCTGCCTCAGCCTCCTGAGTAGCTGGAATTACAGGCACGTGCCACCATGCCCAGCTAATGTTTTGTATCTTTAGTAGAGATGGGGTTTCACCATGTTGACCAGGATGGTCTCGATCTCTTGACCTCGTGATCCACCCGCCTCAGCCTCCCAAAGTGCTGGGATTACAGGCTTGAGCCACCACGCCCGGGTAATTTTTGCATTTCTTACAGAGAAAGGGTTTCACCATGCTGCTTAGGCATCCATTTTGTTTTGACATTGACAAGTAGCTATCAATCACTTTTTAGAAAATCTTTTACTAACTTTTTATTTTTAAGTCATTTATACATTCACATGAAGGTGCAAAAAGAGTGCAAGAGAGGTTTTATGTATTTTTCACCCAGTTTTCCTCAATGGTTACCTCTTATGTAATTATAATACAAGGCCGAGTGCTGTGGCTCATGCCTGTAATCCCAGCACTTTGGAGGCGAAAGTAAGTGGATCACCTGAGGTTGGGGGTTCAAGACTAGCCTAACCAACATGTTAAGGGAATTTGCATTCACAGAAGAATCTTTGTCATTTAAGCCTAATGTGAAGTATAAAATTGTTGGTTGTTATCAAAGAAATAGATGAGCAAATAAAGGCATTTACTTCTGAAACTAGTAAGAAATGATCCATCAAAGTGGTTTTGGAAGACCTGTGAGCTTTGTGCTTGAAAAAAGCATTACTCTATTTTATTTACTTTTTATGACATTTTTTGACTTTGACTTCATCTTCTAATATTTTTGTTGAATTTTATTTTTGCTGTCAAATTTTTAGTTTCTAAAAACTCTTGTTCCTTGTCATCCCTGTCCCTCCTTTTAAAAAATATGGCATCTTTTTATTTTATAGATATAAGTCCTTAACTCAAAAACATTATTAGTATTATTAAAGTTTTCTTTTCTGTTTTTCTTTCCTTTGGGATCCTTTTTTCTTTTCCCTGTTGTGATGTCTGTCATTTGTATTTATTTTCTTCAAATGTCTAGTGATTTTTGGCTGGCAGTTAAGATAGATTAGAAGCTTTATACATGGGTGAGGATTACGGACCTGTGAGTTCATTATAGATGAAAAAGTGGTGATCTCAGTGTTAAGCCTGGGCTTCCATCAGATGTCATTCTTTGTTCGAATTTTTTCTTTTGGGTAAGACATCAGTCTTTCCTCAGAAGACTTGCCCAGTTTGCTTGGAGATTTTTCTGGCTGCTGCTATTTTTGGATTAAAGTGGGTAGAGGGGGCTAAGTATCCCACCATTCAGTATGTAGAATCACACTTAAATGCTCATTTCTTTTTTTCTTTTTTTTTTTGAGAGGGAGTTTCGCTCTTGTTACCCAGGCTGGAGTGCAATGGCGCGATCTCGGCTCACCGCAACCTCTGCCTCCTGGGTTTAGGCAATTCTCCTGCCTCAGCCTCCTGAGTAGCTGGGATTACAGGCATGCGCCACCACGCCCAGCTAATTTTTTGTATTTTTAGTAGAGACAGGGTTTCACCGTGTTGACCAGGATGGTCTCGATCTCTTGATCTCGTGATCCACCCGCCTCGGCCTCCCAAAGTGCTGGAATTACAGGTGTGAGCCACCAAGCCCGGCTTTTTTTTTTTTTGAGATGGAGTTTTGCTCTTGTTTCCCAGTCTGGAGTGCAATGGCGCGATCTTGGCTCATTGCAACCTCTGCCTCCCGGGTTCAAGTGATTTTCCTGCCTTAGCCTCCTGAGTAGCTGGGATTACAGGCATGCACCACCATGCCTGGCTAATTTTGTATTTTTAGTAGAAATGGGGTTTCTCCATGTTGGTCAGGCTGGTCTCAAACTCCTGACGACCTCAGGTGATCCACCTACCTCAGCCTCCCAAAGTGCTGGGATTACAGGCATGAGCCACCCTGCCTGGCCTTAAATACTCATTTCTAGTCCCTAAACCTTACTTCTACAATCCATGGTGTCTAGTGAAAGTGAACCTGGAAATTCTGTTGCAGTTCCTATAGACTAGTGGCTCTCGAAGGGAATGGTGTTGGGGGAGTGGTGATGGTGAATGGTTTTGTCCCCCAGAGGACATTTGGCAGAGTCCAGAGACATTTTTTATTGTCATGACTTGGATGGTACTAAACATCCTAAAATGTACAGGACATCCCTGCAACAAAGAATTATCTTATGCAGTGGTGCTGAGGCTGAGAAACTCTGCTCTAGAAAGTAATCCTTTGTTCTCATGAGGGTTATGTGGTGGTGTGAGAGTGGTGTTTGTGCCAGTGTTTGTGTGTTGCAGCGGCAGGGAGTGTAATTACTCTGTATACATACTTAATTTAAGTCTCAGTTTTTAGCTCGTAATCTGACCCCTTCCCTCTAAGATACATGATGCCTTTAAGTCCCAAATCTTTCCAGCATTTTGTGGCATATTTATGTTCTGGATCCCTGATAATAGACACTTAGATTATATTCCCTCCTCTCTCTACTTTGAATTATAGTCCTCTGTTAACTTTCTAGCTTCTCAAATTTGGTACACACGTGCTTTTCCCCTCATAGGTAAGGATTCTTAGTTTCAGAATTGAGAGCAAGAGAAAAATATTTCATTTATAAAACACAAAGAATATAATTTGTTTTTTGCAATTTGAATTTATTGCTTATTGATAGGTATCAAGTAACACAAGTATCAACTGATGGTAATAAATGTTGGAAATGAGTTTGTGTAGCTGCCACAATTATATTAGAATAAATTTTGTAAGAGAAAAAAAATATTACCTGTTAAACTCACGTTAAACTTTATTTTAGAGTCATGAGTGGAAAATTAACTGTTCAAGAAGAGCAGATTGTAGAACTGATTGAAAAAATCGGTGCTGTTGAGGAGGAGCTAAGTAGGGTAAGCATTTAAAATGGTATTTAATGTTATGTGAAAAGCAAATATTAAAAGAAAATTTTAGAATGTGAAAGACTTAATATTTTTTCCTTCAGGATCTTTTCTTTTTTTAGACGGAGTCTCACTCTGTCACCCAGGCTGGAGTGCAGTGGCACAATCTTGGCTCATTACAACCTCCACCTCCAGGAGTCAAGTGATTCTCCTGCCTTAGCCTCCTGGGTAGCTGAGACTCAGCCTCCTGAGTAGCTGGAATTACAGGTGTGCGTCACCATGCCCGGCTAATTTTTTTTTGTATTTTTAGTAGAGACGGGGTTTCACCATGCTGGCCAGGCTAGTCTTGAACTCCTGACCTCGTGATTTGCCAGCCTCAGCCTCCCAGAGTGCTGGGATTACAGGCGTGAGACACCGCACATGGCCCCTTCTTTAAGATTTTATTTTGCTGACCCTGATACTGAAAGTAAGTTATGTCATTGTTTTTTACTATCGTTAATCACATCAAAAAAGCCGGCAGCTTATATTAATCAACCATTACAAGAAATTAACTGAATTGTTTGATTTTATTATTAAAACTACAAAATAGTGAATGCTGAGGCATTTTTGTTAACGTATCAGATGAAGAAATACAGATATTGGGAGAGACTGGATATTAAATAAAAGTAACATAACTAGGATATGTAAGAGACCTGACCTTTCAGGGCCACCCTCATATTAATACCTTTATTTATTTTTAATTATTTTTTAGAGACAGGGTCTTGCTGTGTTGCCTGGGCTACATACAGTACAGTGGCATAATCATAGCTAACTGCAGCCTCAGACTTCTGGTCTCAAGCAACCCTCCTGCTTCAGCCTCCTGAATAGCTGGGACTTCGGACATGCACCACCACGCCCAGCTAATTATTTTTTTGCAGAGATGGAGTCTTGCTATGTTGCCCAGGCTGGTCTCAAACTCTGGGGCTCAAGCGATCCTCCTGCCTTGGCCTTCCAAAGTGCTGGGATTAGAGGTGTGAGCCACCTTGCTGGACCACATTAACACTCTTATATTCAAATCCATTGACAATGTTAAAGGAACCTGAATTAATAGTACTACACCAAACCTGTTATTTAATCTCAAAAGTGTTGAGTAAGATTACAGGAAGAAACCAGATGCCATATTTGTCCTAACCTAGGGGGTAAATTGTTACAGCTGCATGAAAATAATTTGTTTCATTTTTCTAATCTTATATTATGAACTAATCAGATGCCTTGCCAACCAGATCAGTTTTTTTTTTTTTAATTCTGTGTTATATTTAGGTTACAGAGTTGTTTATGGATAATAAAAATGAACTTGACCAGTGTAAATCTGATCTGCAAAATAAAACACAGGAACTTGAAACCACTCACAAACATTTGCAGGAAACTAAATTACAACTTCTTAAAGAAGAATACATCACATCAGCTTTGAAAAGTACTGAGGAGAAACTTCATGATGCTGCCAGCAAGGTTTGTCTCTTGCATTGATTTGTACTCACATTAAATAAATTAGAGAATGAGTAGAAGTAATTTTCTATGTTTAAGCATTAATTGTGATAATCTGTTTATTTACTCCAAATGGTATTTCTCTCCACTTAAAAAACATTATCTTCCCATTTCATCCATATTTTTCTTGGTGGAGATGTTGACTTATGAAAAAATACTTCTGCTCCTGGAGTTTTGAAAATAGAACATAACTTTGTAATATATTTTGTAGACATTTAGAATAGTGATACTGTGATGCATTTTCTTTGTGGGGATAATTGAACTTAATTAGTCATTAAGAATTTAGTACATTCTAATAATGAAAGATGTGGGAGGTACTTAATTTTTTATTAGTTGTACTTTTTTTTTTTTTGAGACAGAGTCTTGCTTTGTTGCCCAGGCTGGAGTGCAGTGGCATGATCTTGACTCACTGTAATCTTTGCCTCTCAGGCAAAAACAGTTCTCCTGCCTCAGCCTCCCAAGTAGCTGGGATTACAAATACCTGCCACCACAATCGGCTAATTTTTGTATTTTTAGTAGAGATGGGGTTTCACCATGTTGGCCAGGCTGGTCTCAAACTCCTGACCTCAGGTGATCTGCCTGCCTAGGCCTCCCAAAGTGTTGGAATTACAGGTGCGAACCACCATGCCCCGCCATTAGGTGTGCTTTTGAGAAAATAGTAGAACATAGAAGGGAAAAAAGCTCTGAGGAAGCATAATTACTGCAATAACTGACAAAATCAGTTTTCCTTATTTGCATAGATGGCTACAGGAAGGGAAATAAATATTACTGGGCATCTGGATAAATTAGCACGAGTTAAAGCATTTTTTCTGATACAATGTCTAAAATTTACTAGTTCTTTTTTTTTTTTTTTTTGAGACAGAGTCTCTCTTTGTCCCCCAGGCTGGAGTGCAGTGGCACAATCTAAGCTCACTACAACCTCCGCCTTCTAGGTTCAGATGATTCTCCTGCCTCAGCCTCCTGAGTAGCCGGGATTACAAGCATGTACCACCAGCCCCAGCTAAATTGTATTTTTGGTAGAGATGGGTTTCACCATGTCGGCCAGGCTGGAAAGTTTACTAGTTCTTACCAAGATAAATCCTTATGTAGATATTTTCATTAGATTCCTTTTGCCATATTCATTTTGTCAAAACTTATTTTTAAAAATATAGCTGCTTAACACAGTTGAAGAAACTACAAAAGATGTATCTGGACTCCATTCCAAACTGGATCGTAAAAAGGCAGTTGATCAACACAATGCAGAAGCTCAGGATATTTTTGGCAAAAACCTAAATAGTCTGTTTAATAATATGGAAGAATTAATTAAGGATGGCAGCTCAAAACAAAAGGCCATGCTAGAAGTACATAAGACCTTGTTTGGTAAGTTCAGGCTGTTCTGTCTTAGTCTTTACGTGTCATTGTGATACTGATTTCAAAACTGGTAATTTAATTTTGTGAAACATAGGTGACAGTGTCACCATTACTCTCTACCATGCACAAACTATTTGTTCAGGCTGAAAATAAATGCTTTTACTGTCTTGTTTTTTTGTTGTTTGTTTTTTTCTGAGATGGAGTCTCACTCTGTCACCCAGGCTGTAGTGCAGTGGCACGATCTCGGCTCACTGCAACCTCCGGCTTGTGGCTTCAAGCAATTCTTGCCTCAGCCTCCCGAGTAGCTGGGATTACAGGCATGTGCCACCACACCTGGCTGATATTTGTGTTTTTAGTAGAGATGGGGTTTCACCATGTTGGTCAGGCTGGTCTCGAGCTCCTGACCTTGTGATTCACCTGCCTTGGCCTCCCAAAGTGCTGGGATTACAGGTGTGAGCCACCTCGCCCGGCTTCTTGTTTTTTGTTTGTTTGTTTTGAGAACTGTCTTTGAATTAAAACAAATCTTAATATTCCCCCCTTCTGTTTTATTTAAAATGTTATATTTATTAAATAACATTTAAAAAATAACTTGTTATTTAATATGTTAAATTAACATAAATGTTTATGTTTATTAAATAATTTATGTAATAAATAAGTTACTTAATAAACAAACATATAAACAATAGAGTAAAAGTCTTCTTTATCCCTGACTCTGGCTCCTCACCGTGACTCATTCACCATAGTATTATTATTAAATTTCTTGGGCCTTTTTCTAGAAATTTTCTGTGCATAAAGGTTCTGCAGCTTTTTTTGTTTTTCTTCTGGGCAGGTATATCTTGATGGTTTGCTATATTGTCAGAATATGTTTATGTCTCATTGTTTTTAACTATTATATTTTTATCTCCCTTTAGAAAAAAGTCTATTTATTTAGTGTGAAATATTATCCTCGTTATAGAGAATTTGGACATCCAGGAATATAAAAATTTAAAAAATAATCTAGCCTCTAGTCTCACTAAGCCAAGCACCATACATTTTGGTATTGATTTCTAGTTTTTCTTTTCTTTTATAAACTTACCATAATTCTGTACATTATTTTGAGTTAGATTAATTTTAGAATATTCTAATTCTTTGTATACTATGAATATTGTTATGGATCTGATACACTTACAAATATGGTAAGGGCTTACAGAACACTATAGAAAATGTATAATATATATTTAAGTTCTTTTAGGCTCATTATTACAGGTTTTACAAGAAGGGTATTTTTTGCCAACTTCTTTGAAATGGTTTGAACTATATTTAATATATTTATGCCAAAGTTTACATCTTTCTCTTTTATTTTGTTGTGTTACAGATAATCTGCTGTCTTCCAGTGTCTCTGCATTAGATAGCATTACTACCATAGCACTTGGATCTCTCACATCTATTCCAGAAAATGTGTCTACTCATATTTCTCAGATTCTTAATATGATACTAAAAGAACGATCATTAGCAGCACAAAGTAAAATTGCACTACAGGAATTGATTGTTAGTACATCCTTCTGAAGGGTTACGTTTGATAAGTATTTGATAAAATATTTTGAAGGGTTACACTTAAATTTGATAAGTCTTCATAAACAATGTTAACTGCTATTCTCTTAAGCTTTGCTAGACACAGCGATAGACATGTCACTATGAGAGAGTATGTTTATATTTTACAGAACTAACTTTTGAAACTTTTTTCACTCATGTCTTGTAATAGGAGTAGGAGTTATTAGTGAGACTTCTAATGACTAAAGGGCAAGTTTAGCACCACATGGTATCAAGGGACTTGTTAGTTGGCCCAGAAATTGGTAAGTTACTCTTTCCCCAGGGGTCCTGGACCCAACCAGAAGGGGCTATTGGGTAGTTACTTTTAAAACCACAGTAATATGGGATGGTAATAGTGGTGCAAGAAAAGTATCTTTTAGAATTCTGGGAACACATAACAATTCTTAGGGTTAGATCTGTGTGGCTGTTCCCTTCTGGGCCCTAACTGTAAATCTTTTGTCCACAGTTCTGTGGAAGTCACTTACCTAATTGTATTTAATATTACTCCTTCATGCTTGATTTTTATATACTCTATATTTTATAATTGTATGGTTTATCTAGGAAGTTCTTAGCCATATAATGTATTTGTTTTCTTTGTGTAGGGTCTTTGCCTCCCTTTTTCAGTTTAACAATATATATATATATATTTTTTGAGACAGAGTTTCACTCTTGTTACCCAGGCTGGAGTGCAATGGCGCAATCTCGGCTCACTGCAAGCTCCGCCTCCTTGGGTTCAGGCAATTCTCCTGCCTCAGCCTCCTGAGTAGCTGGGATTACAGGCACGCGCCACCATGCTCAGCTAATGTTTTGTATTTTTAGTAGAGACGGGGTTTCACCATGTTGACCAGGATGGTCTCGATCTCTTGACCTTGTGATCCACCCGCCTTGGCCTCCCAAAGTGCTGGGATTACAGGCTTGAGCCACCGTGCCCGGCCTAACAATATTTCTTAAACATTTTCCAAGTAACTACATATGTTAGCTGACGCTTTGCCTCAGTTCAGTGCTAATGACATTACTTTATAGGTTTTCTCTGTCACCCAAATTTGACAGCGTTAAAATATATCCTGTCAGTACTAACTTTTCAAATATTGATTCATTCATTAAATGGTGGTCTGTGTATACAGGCATACTTCAGAGATATTGCAGGTTTGCTTCCAGGCCACTGCAATAAACCAAATATTACAATATATTGAGTCATGAATTTTTTTGGTTTCCCAGTGCATATTAAGGTTATGTTGGCCAGGCGTAGTGGCTCACGCCTGTAATTCTAGCACACCTGGTGGGACAATCATAACACAAACAACGTTTATCAATTAAGTTTGCTGTTTTATAGGGGTACAGTTTATGGTACCCCAAGGCAATTATAATAACATCAAAGATCATTGATTACAATATATAATGAAAAAGTTTGAAATACTGCAATTGTTATCAAAATGTGATGCAGAGACAGAAGGTGAGCACATGATATTTGAAAAAAGTCACTGATAGACTTGCTAAAGTTAGGGTTGCCACAAAACTTCAATTTGTAAAAATTTAGTATCTGTGATGCATAGTAAGGTGAAGCACAATAAAATAAGCTATGCCTGAATTGATATCTTTCTACTTACCAAGTTAAAATTTTTGCTTGAATCAAATGAAGAGAGGAATGTTGCTCTCACAAAATTAGTTGAAGTTGGTATGATAGCTCTTCTTTCCAAAAGAATACCAGTAGGCCTGTAAGTATTTCTAATGTACATTAGTACATTACAGTGGCTCATGCCTGTAATTCTAGCACTTTGGGAGACCAAGGTGGGCAGGAGTTTGAGGTTAGGAGGTCATTACCTGAGGTCAGGAGTTTGAGACCAACCTGGCCAACATGACAAAACTCTGTCTCTACTAAATACAAAAATTAGCTAGGTATGGTGGCGGGCACCTGTAATCCCAGCTACTTAGGAGGCTGAGTCAGGAGAATTGCTTGAACCCAGGAGTCAGAGGTTACAGTGAGCCAAGATCACGCCATTGCACTCGAGCCTGGGCAACAAGAGTGAAACTCTGTCTCAAAAAAAAGAAAAGGAAAAAGAAATTGTTCTATATTTTTACTGGGCTTGAAAAAAGAGAAGTTATTGTATTTATTGTAATAGAAGAAATTGTTGTATTATTGTATTGATTTATCTATGTGGACTAAAGAATGGAGAATGGGGCCAGGTGCGGTGGCTCATATGTGTAATCCCAGCACTTTGAGAGGCTGAGGTGGACAGATCACCTGAGGTCAGGAGTTTGAGACCAGCTTGGTCAACATGATGAAACCCCATCTCTACTAAAAATACAAAAATTAGCTAGATGTGGTGGTGCACACCTGTAATCCCAGCTACTCTGGAGGCTGAGGTGGGAGAATCACTTGAACCCAGGAGGCGGAGGTTGCAGTGAGCCGAGATTGTACCACTGTACTCCAGGCCGGGAGACTCTATCTCAGAAAAAAAAAAAAAGAATGGAGAATGGAAATGTAGAATTTTAATGTGAATGTTTAGCTACCAAAATATTTAAAATATCACCTAGACAGGTTTATGGGAGTGAAAATATTTTAAAGACCTATTTGTTTATTTTTTAAACTAGAATGTACTCAAGACTGATCTTCTGAGTTCACTGGAAACGATTTTATCCCCCACTGTGGTGTCTATATTGAAAATCAATAGTCAACTAAAGCATATTTTCAAGACGTCCTTGACAGTGGCTGATAAGGTAACAAACACTATGTTCTTAATATCTCAAAGTTGATGTGTTGTTTAAGAAGGAAACTCATTTTTTTTTCCTTCAAAGATAGAAGATCAAAAAAAGGAACTAGACGGCTTTTTCGGTTTACTGTGTAACAATCTACACGAACTACAAGAAAATACCATTTCTTCCTTGGTTGAATCACAAAAGCTATGTGAAAACCTAAGTGAAGACCTGAATACAGTAAAGCAAACCCATTCACAGGTATGTTGGTTAGCTGACCTGGGGAGTGCAGAGAAAGAGAGTTTTATGATGATTTGATGTGACTTGATAATCTATGTTATGCAATATGAATACTGTAAAACGTGAAACCTGAAAATACCATAGGCACTGTTGCTTATAACAGTAATTTTTGTAAAACAATTGAGAATACTTCTCTTTTTTTTTTTTTTTTTTTTTTTTTTTTTTGAGACGGAGTTTCGCTCTTGTTACCCAGGCTGGAGTGCAATGGCGCGATCTCGGCTCACCGCAACCTCCGCCTCCTGGGTTCAAGCAATTCTCCTGCCTCAGCCTCCTGAGTAGCTGGGATGACAGGCATGCGCCACCATGCCCAGCTAATTTTTTTTTTTGTATTTTTAGTAGAGACAGGGTTTCGCCATGTTGACCAGGATGGTCTCGATCTCTTGACCTTGTGATCCGCCCGCCTTGGCCTCCCAAAGTGCTGGGATTAGAGGCGTGAGCCACCGCGCCCGGCCAAGAATACTTCTCTTAATATTTGAAGTTTTGCTTCCCCATATAGAACCACAATATGACAAAACAGCCCTTTTCTCATGGACTGGATGGCATGGATCGTTTATGAAAGACATAAACCAAGCCCTACTTTCTCTTATTTCTGTCTCACTGATATACATTTAAAGCATAGTAAATTGATACAATTTTTAATTCTTATTGATTATAAATGTAATTCATAATTTATCTTCCCTGTAAACTGTTCCTCATCATATGAGGCTTTAAACCAAAATCAAGGCTTCAAACCAAATCTATAAATATCAGATATATGAAAAACAGCTTCTGGCATTCTTAAGACTTTAATAATGACTGAAGTTTTATTAAACAAGCCTATTATGATATGACAGAACTCTTACCATAGTTAACATTTATTGAGCAATTCACTGTGTATTTATTCCTCCCATCAATGTGGATATAAATTCTATTACTAGGCAGTTTTCTAATGAGGAAAACTCAGACCTTGTGAGCATCTAACAGTGTGTAGATCATCTTAGAGAAGCTGGTGGTGATTATATTGCCTGAAAAGCATCCGTGTTTGAGTGGCTCTTCTATGGTTTCTTGGCAATTTAAAATTGCAGCATTTTCTCTTACATCTGCATAGGGTATTTGTCTTAAACCTGTTGAGAACTTTTTAGTTGTATATTCTTTTATTTATTTATTTATTTATTTATTTATTTATTTATTTATTTGAGATGGAGTCTCGCTCTGTTGCCAGGCTGCTTCCTGGGTTCAAGCAATTCTCCTGCCTCAGCCTCCCGAGTAGCTGGGACTACAGGCGCACGCCACCACGCCCAGCTAATTTTTCCATTTTTAGTAGAGACAGGGTTTCATCATGTTGGCCAGGATGGTCTCGATCTCTTGACCTCGTGATCTGCCTGCCTCGGCCTCCGAAAGTGCTGGGATTACAGGCGTGAGCCACTGTGCCTGACCCTTTTTAGGTGTATATTGTAAGGCTGATCCTTTTTTATAAATTTACTGTTTTGAAATGCTTAAAATTGGTAGGCAGCTGTTTAAAAAAAACAAAACAAAACCAATCTGATCTGAAAAGTATCTTAGCATGGATAGTTTGGTTTCCCTGGCTTTAAGAAAGCAAGTTCACTATGTGAGTTATTTCTTAGGTTTTCCAGAACTTGAAATGAGCACTACTAAATAAATAATTTGTAAAACTTTGAACACATTTACATGTAGATAAATCTGATAATAATACCTGCATTATTCAAATTATTAATCTGATAATACCTTTGAGACTAGTAAAAATACTGACAGACTTTATTCATAATCAGAATGTTAGATATGTATTGTCAGGTGATGTATTATTCAGAGATATTGACTAATCAGCAGACTGAACAGTGAGTAAATGTGTTAGATGCATTTTCAGCTCTTCCTTGGTCCTTGTGATGGCTTCTTCATTTTGCAATGTAGCATGTTAGATGCTTATAAGAACTTGTTTTCAAAGATGTAAAATATGATCAAAGATAAGACTTTACATTTTGTTAATATGATCCAACTAAGTTCTGTAAAATTTTTTAGCTCCAGTAATTGATAATAATTTTGGATTACTTGACCTGTGAGTATATCATATTTTTCCTTTTTAAAAAGCAACTATGTATATATCTGTCAAAGTTGGTCTTACACATAATGTGATATATGGGCTATTTGATTAGTTATGAGGTACACTGAAAGTAACTTGTTATAGCTAAAATAGTGAAGTTTGCTAATTACTTACTTTTCAAAAAATCCTGGCTGGGTATGATGGCTGACATCTGTAATCCCAACACTTTGAGAGGCTGAGGCAGGGTGATCACTTGAGGCTAGGAGTTCAAGACCAGCCTGGTCAATATAGCAAGACCACGTCTCTACAAAAAAAAAAGTTGTTTAAATTAGCCAGGCATGCTGGCCCATGCCTGTAGTCCCAGCTACTTGGAGGCTGAGGTAGGAGGATTCCTTGTGCCAGGGGATTGAAGGAGATTGAAGCTGCAATGAGCCTTGATTATGCCAATGCACTATAGCTTGGGCAACAGAGTGAGACCCTGTCTCTTAAAAAAAGAAAAGAAAAGAAAATCTTACATTTTACTATCACTTCCACTGCTTTCCTCTGTGGAAGAGAGGTAAAGATTCAAAAATTTATATAATTCTCACCTATAGAGAATACTTCATCTTATCAGTCATAAAAAATGTTCAGCTGTCATAATTTTAAGTCTTTTCACTTCCCATACCTTTCTTACAGGAACTTTGCCAGCTAATGAATCTTTGGACAGAGAGATTCTGTGCTTTGGAGGAAAAGTGTGAAAATATACAGAAACCACTTAGTAGTGTCCAGGAAAATATACAGCAGTAAGCTATTTTTAAATTCTCTTAAACTTTTCTGTAAGTCTGAAATTATTTCCAAAGAAAAAGCTTTAAATAGTACAAATAATTCCTCTGTGTACTTTCAAATTTCTCATTTGTTAATATTTTATTATGTATATGTATATATATGTATATACGTACATGCACATGTCTTTTCATTGTATATTTGTGCTCTCTTTTAAGACAGTGAAAAACCTGGCTCTTATCCACAATGTATTTTCTAATTTCCTCAATCTTAGAAAATACATTAAGTAATTTCACAATTTCTAACCTATATTACTGATGAAAAATATACCAACTAGAGAGGGGTTTGGCAAGCCATGGCTAGCAGACTGGATGCCTGTTACTATAAATAATTTCATTGGGCACTGTCATACCTATCTGTTTACATGTTGCCTTTGGTTATCTTTGGCTGCCTTTGCACTGCGATGGCAAAGTTGAGTCATTGTTTCGAAGTCATTGAACAATAGCCTAAAATATTTGCTGTCTGGCTTTTCAAGAAAAAGTTTGCTGATTCCTGTATTAGGGGTTTGTTTTGTTTTTTTGAGACAGAGTCTTGCTTTGTTGCCTAGGTTGGAGTGCAGTGGCACAAGTGCAGTGGCATGATCTCTGCTCACTGCAACCTCCGCCTCCTGGGTTCAAGTGATTCTTGTGCCTCAGCCTCCTGAGTAGCTGGGAATACAGGCACATACCACCATGCCTGGCTAATTTTCTGTATTTTTAGTAGAGACAAGGTTTTGCCATGTTGGCCAGGCTGGTCTCAAACTCCTGGCCTCAACTGATACACCTGCCTCAGCCTCCCAAAGTGCTGGGTTTGCAGGTATGAGCCACTGCACTGGCCTGTATTAGAGTTTAATGTTGCTTTGTAGTCTCATTGCTTGCCAGTTCCACACACTTAACATACACTACAGTCAGACCTATGTGTTCTTTTAGGAATTTTATAACTTTATGCTTTAACATTTAAATTCATGATCCCTTTAAAAATTTTTACATAACAGGAGATTTGTCAAGGTTCAGTTTTTTGCCTATTGAATATTCTGTACTTATGCGGGGAAAGATACTATATTTACCCTATTTTTGCCCACTTAATTCCTAAATTAAACTCCTAAAGCTTCAAACTTTCTTTGGTGTGAAGAACTTCTTGTAGTCTTTAAGGGTGGGTCTGCTGGCCACAAATTCTGTTTTGTTTTATCTGAGAATGTCTTGATTTCCCCTTCATTCTTGAAAGATATTTTGACTGGCTATTGAATTGAGGGTTGACAATTATTATTTTTTGCAGCATTTGAAATATGCTGTTCCATTTTCTTCTGGCCTCTATGAAATGAGAAATCCACTGCCATTCAAGTAATTGTTCCCATATAGGCAATCTCTCTATAGCTGTTTTCAATTTTTTTGTCTTTAGAAACATGATTATATTTTGTCTACTCTTGTATTTCTTTGAGTTTATTCTATTTGGGTTTTGTTTAGCTTCTTGAATCTGTACGTTTATGCCTTTCACCAAAACTTGGGAATTTTTCATCTATTAAGTCTTTGAATATTTTTCAGCCTCATACTCTTTTTCCTCTGCCCCTATGACTTTAATGACACAAATGTTAGATTTTTTATTATGGTCCCTCAGGAGATATGTATATTTCTTACAGGTATATTTATTCTTTTCATTGTTAATTGGGGAAATTCTGTTGATCTGTCTTCATATTCACTGAGTCTCCTTCTGTCATCTCTAACCTATGTTTTTTTTTGAGATGGAGTTTCACTCTTGTTGCCCAGGCTGGAGTGCAGTGGCATAATCTTGGCTCACTGCAACCTCCGCTTCTAGATTCAAGTGATTCTCCTGTGGCAGCCTCCCGAGTAGCTGGAATTACAGGCATGTGCCACCACGCCCAGCTAATTTTTTGTATTTTTAGTAGAGATGGGGTTTCTCCATGTTGGTCAGGCTAGTCTCAAACTCCCAGCCTCAGGTGATCTGCCTGCCTTGGCCTCCCAAAGTACTGGAATTATAGGCGTGAGCCACTGTGCCCGGCCATTAACCTACCGTTAAACCCATTCAGTGAGGTATTTTATTTCAGTTAATGTTTTTTTGTTTGTTTGTTTTGAGACGGAGTTTCGCTCTTGTTACCCAGGCTGGAGCGCATTGGCGAGATCTCAGCTCACCGCAACCTCCGCCTCCTGGGTTCAGGCAATTCTCCTGCCTCAGCCTCCTGAGTAGCTGGGATTACAGGCACACGCCACCATGCCCAGCTAATTTTTTGTATTTTTAGTAGAGACGGGGTTTCACCATGTTGACCAGGATGGTCTCGATCTCTTGACCTCGTGATCCACCTGCCTCAGCCTCCCAAAGTGCTGGGATTACAGGCTTGAGCCACCGCGCCCGGCCTTTTTTTTCTTTTTTAAACGCTCTCTCAACCCAGCTTTTCCCGACCCTGGGAAGAAACAGGAAGAAAAGGCCTGATTTGCTTTTTTTACACCTTGATTCTTTGCTAGGATTTTTTTTTCCCAGGCGTGTTAATTTCTTGTTGGAGCCTTTTTATGATGGTTGCTTTAAAATCCTTGCCAGACAATTCTAACATCTTTGAGTTTACTCATTGTTGGTATCCGTTGATTGTCTTTTCTCATTCAACTTGTGATTTTTGTGGTTCTTGATATATGAGAAGATTTTCTATTGTATCTTGAACATTTTGGGTATTACGTTAGGAGATTCAGGTTCTTATTTAAGTATTTTTTAGCTGGGATTTACCCTGTTTAGGCTTAGCATATACGTCCAGGCTCATTTTTGTGGGCTGTGGTTCGACTGACAGTTTAGTTTTTACAGCCTTTGCATTGTTATTCTGATATGCTTTGTTTGTTTGCTACCCACATGAGAAAATTTGTATTCTGCTTTTGTTGAATGAAGTGTTCTATATGTGTCAACTTGATCAAGTTGATCGATAGTGCTATTAAAGTCACCCACGGCTTTACTGAGTTTCTGTATACTTGTTCTATCAATGACTAAGAGAGGAGTATTGAAATCTCTAACTATTAATTGTAGATTTATTTCTTTTATTCTGTCAGCTTTTGCCTCGTGTATCTGAAACTTTGTTGTTGGGTGCATATACAATCAGGATTATCATATCTCCTTGGAGAATTGACCTCTTTATCATTATGTAACATCCACTTTTGTTTTTGATTATCTTTTTTGTTTTGAGGTCTTTTTTGTCTGAAATTAATACAGATACTCCCGCTTTCCTTTGATTGCCATTTGTATGATGTATCCTTCTCCATCTCTTTATTTTTGGCCTAAGTCTTTATATTTAAAGTGGGTTTCTTATAGACAGCATATAGGTGGGTCTTGCTTTTTCATCAAATTTGTAATCTATGAGGGTTTAGTTTTATTTATTTATTTATTTATTTGAGACAGCACCTTGCTTTGTGACCCAGGCTGGAGTACAGTGGCACAATCTTGGCTCACTGCAACCTCTACCTCCTGGGTTCAAGCAATTCTTCTGCCTCAACCTCCTGAGTAGCTGGGATTACAGGCACACACCACTACGCTCAGCTAATTTTTATATTTTTACTAGAGGCAGGGTTTCACTGTGTTGGCAAGGCTGATTTTGAACTTCTGACCTCAAGTGATTTACCTGCCTTGGCCTCCCAGAGTGCTGGGATTACAGGTGTGAGCCACTGTGCCCAGCCCTTTTTTCAGTTATTGTGACTTTCATTTGTAGGTTTGGTTTTCAACATCTTTGCTTACTACTTGGTTTATCCACATGGTGTACCATCTAGTGGTATTAGAGAGTCACTTCATTACACAAGGTTTAAATCTTGTCCTATAAGATAACTTTGAATGCTATTATAGGGAACCTTGCAGAGAGAGAAATCAATGAATTTTAAATGTCTATCTAACCAACATTAGTTTTATATCAAGTTTATGTTATATTGTTCTATATGTATAATTTGTCACACCCCAATATAATTTTCTTTTAATTATTAGAAAGCTTTATAGCTGGTTTAAACATAACATTTGTAATGTTTGTGATTTATTTTATATACTAGGCAAGTGAAACTGCTTAATAACAGAATAAATGACTGATTGTCTAATTTAGGAACTCTACAGGAGGCTGTAGTAGAGTCCCTGAAATAACATTGCCTGGTAAAAGGGATAAAACAAGCAGACAAATTTTGAAAGCATCATAACTGGAGGAGGGCTGTGAAAGATTTCATGAGAAAAGATGATCCTTTCAAAGGCCATTTAATGGCAATCTGCTGTGAAAAGACACTGGCCACGGCATCCATTCTCAATGTAGAAGATGTATTAAGATCATGGGCCCTGGAGCCAGACTGCCCATGTTCGAATCTGCCAGTTAAGAGCTGAGTGATCTTGGGAAGTTATATATCCTTTGAGTCTTAATTCCCCATTTCAACAGTGTCATACTCTTTTCCTATAGGAAATCTGAGGATATAGTCAACAAAATGACTTTTCACAGTCAAAAGTTTTGTGCTGATTCTGATGACTTGTCACAGGAACTCAGAAATTTTAACCAAGAAGGTACAAAATTGGTTGAAGAGTCTGTGAAATACTATGATAAACTCAAAGGCAACCTGGAAAAAATATCTCAGGAGACTGAACAGAGATGTGAGTCTCTGAACACAAGAACATTTTGTTTTTCTGAACAGTGGGTATCTTCCTTAAATGAAAGAGAACAGAAACTTCAGAACTTACTGGAGGTAATAACTTTGTAACTGGAACTTACTTTGGGGAGAATAATGATAATCAGAAAATTAAATATTCTTGGCTATATTGATTTCAAAACAAATGATATTTTAAGTTATAATGACTTAAACTTTTAAGTATAATACTTGGTATGCTTATACATGATCTCGTTTTGTGCTTTGGTATATGTTTTCTAGATCTTGGAATTAATTTAACATTTGTCCAGTTTCTTTCCTGAATTTATCCTTGGTTTCTGACCTAGTAGACTCTTCAAAGAAGGGCACCCTGTCTTTTGATATATAATACCTTCCACTTATAAAATGCTCTTTACTTATCTCAAGTACATTCAAACCTATTATTGTTTTAAGTATTTAGGTTATTTTAAGTTTTAGGTTGTTTTAAGTATTTAGGTTATTGCTCTGGTACCCAAAGGATATTTGATAGGTTAATGGATATGCTTGAACTTAACACTTGCATGAGCCCTTTATGACTTGTTTTTTTTCTTTCTTTGCAATACAAGGATTTTACTAACATTCTCAGGAAATAGGTACAAAGAATTTACATTTTTAATCTATATAATCTGTTTTCACTAAAAGAAACTAGAGTTTGTATACAGATAGCTAATTTCACATTTGAGGTGGGAAATGTATAATATATGAGCCTAGAGATCTTGGTCATACCAGAAAATAAGGAAGCTGTTAAAGATTTCTGTGGTTGTCAAAAGGACTTTGTAGCCAAATTCCCCATGTTCAAAGGTGGTATAATTTGAGCATCAAAAAGAATAATGGCCATAATGGATTAAAACACATCAAATATATTAAAACTTATGAACTCATAAAAATTTCATAGGTCTCCTTTGGATCATGCTAGGGAAGCAACACATTGTCCTGAAAATGGGTAAATAGGAAGAAACAATATAGCATCCATCTGTCTTTCCTAAAAGAAACCATATCTTGGTTTAGCAAGGTAATGAAAAAATGTGTTTCATTAGACTCTCAGCTAATAAAATGGAGAAGAAATGATAAAATTAATATATCACCAGTATGCAGCTCTTAATAAAATAACCCCTGTGGATGTTAATGACGGCTTAAACCATTTGATCAAAAGCTGAGGCTAACCATACCTAAACCCCTGATAAATCTTAACATGAGAGACATAGCAAAGCATTTTGTGTTTGCAGTCCTACCTATGAAATATTCTTGCTAAAAAATTAAACCTGAATTAGGTCTAACCAGTTTGTAGAAAATAAAGCATAGAAATGCAATTAACCAAATCCAGAATTTGAGATGTTCAGTAGAGCAAAGACCTCATTTCTTTGGCAACACTTTTTCAGGGGGAAAAAATATGAGAAAAGATAACCTATAGATCAAAAGAGACTAGAGGTCCTTAAATCTTAGTTTGCCTGAGGGGCTCCTTGTTGACATTTGTTATATTGGAATGATTATTAACAATGGACCCTTTCACACTAAAAGGTGTCCCAATTTGGATGATAAATTATATAGTCACCAAGTTAAGACCTATAAACCAAATCACTGGTGAATTTTGGTTCAAACCAAAGCAGTTGTGACACACTTTGGAGACAACTGGTGAAGTTTGAACTTGGACTAGACATTTGATAAGAAGGAATCAGTGTTAACCTCTTCAGGTGTGATAGTGGTCTTAAAGTGCTCTTACCTGTTAGAGATACATGCTGAAGTAAATGGATAAAATGATACAGGACTTGTTTCAAAATAATTCTGGATTTGTGGAGGAGTTTAGTGGCCAGTCTTGTTGGTAAATATTTGTACTCCACTTGTTGGTAAATGTTGAAGCTGGGTAATGAATACAAGGGAGTTAATTATACTGTTTTCTCTACTTTTATATGTGTTTTTAAATATTTTATTACTGGTGGCCAGGTGTGGTGGCTCATGACTGTAATTTTTTTTTTTTTTTTTTTTGAGACGGAGTCTTGCTTTGTTGCCCAGGCTGGAGTGCAGTGGCACAATTTTGGCTCACTGCAACCTCCGCCTCCAAGGTTCAAGCGATTCTCCTGCCTTAGCCTCCTGAGTAGCTGGGATTACAGGCACACCACCACGCCCAGCTAATATTTTTGTATTTTAGTAGAGACCAGGTTTCATCAGTTAGACTGGTCTCGAACTCCTGACCTTGTGATCTGCCCGCCTCGGCCTCCTGAAGTCCTGGGATTACAGGCGTGAGCCACCTCACCCAGCCTCATTCCTGTAATCTTTGAAAGCCGAGATGGGCAGATTGCTTGAGTCCAGGAATTTGAGACCAGCTTGGACAACATGAAACCCCATCTCTTCAAAAAATATAAAAATTAGCCAGGCATGGTGGTGAATGCCTGTAATCCCAGCTACGAGAGGCAGAGGTGGGAGGATGGCTTAAGCCTGGGAAATCAAGGCTTTAATGAGCCCTAGTCATGCCACTGCACTCTAGCCTGGGCAAAAGAGTGAGACTTGTCTCAAAAAAAAAATTATTATGGAAAATTTCAAGGTAAGGGAAAATATGATATTGAGTAAAACAGTGGCGACTTTAATTTTAGTAATAAAAACATATTTGCATCATTTACAGGTTGTAAACCAGTGTTGTGAGGCTTCAAGTTCAAACATCACTGAGAAATCACACGGACATAAGGCAGCTAATGAGAAACAGCACAACATTTTTCTTGATCAGATGAATATTGATGAAGAAAAATTGATAGCACAAAATCTAGAACTTAATGAAACCATAAAAATTGGTTTGACTAAGCTTAATTGCTTTCTGCAACAGGATCTGAAACTGGATATCCCAACAGGTACTTTAAAAGAGAAATAGAATTGTTAAATTTTTTGAAGTTGAATTCAACTCTCAGTAGTGTCAGATATTCAGAAAAATTAGTCCTGCCATTGCCTGACAGGAATTTACCATCTCACTGTAATCAACTGAAAATGGGAAAACTGGAAACTTAAAATAGTTTGAATCAAGCATCATGATACAGGTGATATAAACTCCTAGAAATGTGGTATCATAATTCACTAAAATTTCACAGTCAGGGAATTTACTTTGTTAATAGGGGATATTTTTAAAACAAACAAATAAAAACCTAGCACTGTTTGTAAAAGGATATTTTAATACCACAAATATTGGAGAGATGTAACTTACTAAATCTAGTTTAATGCAAAGTTTGCTACATTGTGCATTTTGTTCTGTGTCCCTCTCATTTTGTCATAGACTGTTGCCATTTAGGAATTCCTGTTTTAAGAGATCAGGGATCTCCGTGGACTGTTAGCATTTAGGAATCAACATTTTTAGAGATCAGATATGGCAAACATCATTGTAGGCTATAATGATTCAGGGAAGTCTTCATGGAAGACATGAATAATTGGGTTCTTCATTGGATTGTAATTGTTGCATACCCTGTAAACTCACTAAAAATCACTGAATTGTACACATAAAATGAGTGTTTTATGTATGTAAATTATATCACAAAACCGTTTTTGTTTTTTTTAATTTAAAAACCAAGGGGATGGTGCAACATAGAATGTTGATTTATTTTTTTCCCCAAGAGACCTGTAAGATTTACTGTCTACTTTTCAGTGAAATTAGGAATGTAAATGTTGAGTGAAAAGGCAGGTGCTTTTGTAAATTATGAGAGCATGAGCTCATTACAGAGAAATATAACTGGGAGCCAGAGGTGGTGGCTCACGCCTGTAATCCCAGCACTTTGGGAGGCCAAGGCAGGAGGATCGTTTGAGCCCAAGAGTTTAAGACCAGCCTGGGCAACATAGTGTGTATATATATATATGGTTAATATTTAACCACCACACCACATTTATAGTGAAATAGTTATTCCTATCAAAGTAATCATGTTGGGAAATCTGTACTCTTATTCTTTTTTTTTTCTTTTTTTTGAGACAGAGTTTCGCTCTTGTTACCCAGGCTGGAGTGGAATGGCGTGATTGCAGCTCACCGCAACCTCCGCCTCCTGGGTTCAGGCAATTCTCCTGCCTCAGCCTCCTGAGTAGCTGGGATTATAGGCACGTGCCACCATGCCCAGCTAATTTTTTGTATTTTTAGTAGAGACGGGGTTTCACCATGTTGACCAGGATGGTTTCGATCTCTTGACCTCGTGATCCACCCGCCTCGGCCTCCCAAAATGCTGGGATTACAGGCTTGAGCCTGTACTCTTATTCTAATAAAGCTGCCATTTTTTCAGAACACTCTATAACTTCTTTTAGAGCCTATAATACACCTTTTATATGTCCTCGGAGATGGTAAACTTCATGTTTTAGAGAGTTGGATGAATCTTGAAAATAGTAAAGTCTGTTGTCAAATTAGAAAATATCGTTAGTTGCAAACAATGTCTACCTGACAGGTAGCAAGACTGATCCTCGTATATGGCAATTATATTTTTATATTTTATATTTTTAGAAGACAAGATTCATTTGGAAGCTTTAGTATTTTTAAAAAATATTTACATCTCATACTTTAATTTTTACCTCTTACCTAATGTCCATTAAAGGTACTACACCACAGAGGAAAAATTATTTATACCCATCAGTACTGGTGAGAACTGAACCACGTGAACATCTTCTTGATCAGTTGAAAAGGAAACAGCCTGATCTGTTAATGATGCTAAACTGTTCAGAAAACAACAAAGAAGAGAAAATTCAGGTAAATTTAAAGGATCTTTTTTTTTTTAGACGGAGTTTCACTCTTGTTACCCAGGCTGGAGTGCAATGGCGTGATCTCGGCTCACCGCAACTTCCGCTTCCTGGGTTCAGGCAATTCTCCTGCCTCAGCCTCCTGAGTAGCTGGGACTACAGGCACGCGCCACCACGCCCAGCTAATTTTTTGTAGTTTTAGTAGAGATGGGGTTTCACCATGTTGAACAGGATGGTCTCGATCTCTTGACCTCGTGATCCACCCGCCTCGGCCTCCCAAAGTGCTGGGATTACAGGCATGAGCCACCGCACCCGGCCCAAAGGATCATTTTATAATGGAACTGTCTTACGAACTCTTGATGTAGCTGACTTCATGTGAAGAATTTTACTGTTCACCCTTCAGTCTTACCCTGCCTCTCATTAATGATAGTTGCCTAGCTCTTAGCCTTATTTGTTTTTAATCTTACCAGTTTTTAAATTATGCTAGTAGATAATAATAGCCAATATTTAATACTGTGTTTAGTAACATTTTTATATAGGAACTTCTACTCTGTATAAAAATATATTAGGAATTATTTTCATTATTTGTAGACTTTGTTTACTTTACACACACACACACACACACACACATACATATTCTGCTTATGTAGATTTGTAGACTTTCTACTAATTTTGTTGAGGTTTAACTTTTATATTATACCGTGGCCATATATTGTATTCAAAGAAGAAAACTGCTCTTCCTTTGTGATGACTTTGAGGCTCTTGGACTTAGTCACTCATCCAGTTTCTTCTTCCAGGACGTGGATGTAGAAAAGGCAGCTCTGGAGCAGTATACTGAAGAACCTCTAAGTCAGGAGCCATCTGTAGATGCTGGTGTGGATTGTTCATCAATCGGTGGGGTTCCATTTTTCCAGGTACTGATGATATCATATCAGATAACCGTTCCACATCTGATGTAAGTCATTTATTTACTATTCAGTATAAAAGCATTATTCTTGGTGAGTAGAACAACAGAAACCTTTCAGTTATTTATTAGGATGGCTTGTTATCTCTTATGATTTGAATTATTTAAAAAAATCTGATACTGATAAGGGGTTTTCTGTAGAATATATGAAGGCAAAATTTAAGTGATAATCTTTAGCTAGTGCTTCTATTCCTTTTCCGCTTCCTATATACTCAGAAGGGACACTGAAAACAGTCTTTCCTCACTTTCTTCTACCTTTGCCATGGAAGCCTTGGAACCCATCTCTGCCCATAATCAGACTTTGAAGGCAAAGGGCTTGAAAAGATTGAGAGACTGAAGACCTCTTAGGTTACATTAGTGATTTCTCCTGCCTGAGGCTCTTCTCTTGTGAACTGCTGCCCACGTTTCCTGAGCTCCTTGCCTGCTCTGATCCTATGTCATTGAATCCTGCGACCTCTCCTATACACTTTTTTTTGAGACAGAGTCTCGTCCTGTCACCCAGGCTGAAGTGCAGTGGCATGATCTTGGCTCACTGCAACTTCTGCCTCCCGGGTTCAAATGATTCTCCTACCTCAGCCTCCTAAGTAGCTAGGATCACAGGCATGCACCATCACACCCAGCTAATTATTTTGTATTTTTAGTAGAGACGGGGTTTCACTATATTGGCCAGGCTGGTCTCAAACTCCTGACCTCAAGTGATCCACCCTCCACAGCCTCCCAGAGTGCTGGGATTACAGGTGTAAGCCACTGTGCTCAGCCTCCTACCCACTTTTTTTTTTTTTTTTTTTTTTTTTGAGACAGAGTTTTGCTCTTGTTACCCAGGCTGGAGTGCAATGGCGCGATCTCAGCTCACCGCAACCTCCGCCTCCTGGGTTCAGGCAATTCTCCTGCCTCAGCCTCCCTAGTAGCTGGGACTACAGGCACGTGCCACCATGCCCAGCTAATTTTTGTATTTTTAGTAGAGACGGGGTTTCACCATGTTGACCAGGATGGTCTTGATCTCTTGACCTCGTGATCCACCCGCCTCGGCCTCCCAAAGTGCTGGGATTACAGGCGTGAGCCACCGCGCCCGGCCCCACTTTTTTTTTTTTTTGAGACGGAGTTTCACTCTTGTTACCTAGGCTGGAGTGCAATGGGGCGATCTTGGCTCACCACAACCTCTGCCTCCTGGGTTCAGGCAATTCTTCTGTCTCAGCCTCCTGAGTAGCTGGGATTACAGACACGCGCCACTATGCCCAGCTAATTTTTTGTATTTTTAGTAGAGACAGGGTTTCACCATGTTGACCAGGATGGTCTCGATCTCTTGACCTCGTGATCCACCCGCCTCGGCCTCCCAAAGTGCTGGGATTACAGGCGTGAGCCACCGCGCCTGGCCTCCTACCCACTTTTTAACACTGTTGAGAACACAGTTGGTTTATGATTTGTTTCAGCATTGATGACTGAATGCAATAAATGTCACCAGTCCCTTAATGTTCTCTATGGGTAAGTGGAGGATTCCAATGAAATACCACTTCCAAATGAGGCTCTATAAAATGCTAGTATCTTTTCCTTTAGTTTGAAGGTACAAGCCTAGACAAAGCGTGTGAAGGAAAAATTTCGTTACATAGGACATTGGTATCTACCTACATTTACAGTTGAAGTACTGCTTCTGATATGCATATGCTTGTACCTTTAAAAAAATTTTTTTTTTAATATATACAGAGACGGGGTCTTGCTACTTGAATTCCTTGCCTCAAGCAATCCTCCCACCTCAGTCTCCCAAAGTGCTAGGATTACAGGTGTGAACCACTGTGCCTGGCTGCTTGTATCTGTTTTTTGTTTTTTTTTTTTTAGGTGGAGTTTCGCTCTTGTTACCCAGGCTGGAGTGCAATGGCGCGATCTTGGCTCACCGCAACCTCCGCCTCCTGGGTTCAGGCAATTCTCCTGCCTCAGCCTCCTGAGTAGCTGGGATTACAGGCACACACCACCATGCCCAGCTAATTTTTTGTATTTTTAGTAGAGACGGGGTTTCACCATGTTGACCAGGATGGTCTCGATCTCTTTGACCTCGTGATCCACCTGCCTCGGCCTCCCAAAGTGCTGGGATCACAGGCTTGAGCCACCATGCCCGGCTTTGTATCTGTTTTTAATAGATCTATAGGTCTTTCCCTTAAGGTCTAAAGATTATCCATCCCTGCTTTCAACTGTTAAAAAAGTTCTAAATCAGATTCTCATCAATTCCTCCCTGTCTCTGGGCAGTTTTATCCCAAAATTCTTGCTACCTTTTTTTTTTTTTTTTTAAGTTTTCTACTATGAGAGAACTATAAATATGTTTCTTTCAGTTTTCATCCCTTTCTTCTAGCTTATAAAGTTAGGAAAAGGGGAAGGATAAGAGAACCTTGGTGACTACTTAATCTCTGGTCAGAAATTATTTTATTATTATTATTTGTGGCATTTTGAACTAGGCTTAGTGATTCAGCTATGGCAAGGAAGTCCTCACAGTACCCGAAAGGGTTTGGGATGGGATTTTAGACCTTTAGCTGAAGTCCATAGATGATCTTTTCTCTAGTAGCAGTGTGATGTGGGGATTTTCTCTGGGTTTAAAACTTTATTATTATTTTTTATTTATTTTTTTGAGATGGAATCTTGCTCTGTCGCCAGGCTGGAGTGCAGTGGCGCAATCTAGGCTCACTGCAACCTCTGTTTCCTGGGTTCAAGTGATTCTTCTGCCTCAGCCTCCTGAGTAGCTGGGACCACAGGCGCGTGCCACCATGCCCAGCTAATTTTTGTATTTTTAGTAGAGACGTTTCACTGTGTTGGCCAGGATGGTCTTGATCTCTTGACCCTGTGATCCTCCCGTCTTGGCCTCCCAAAGTGCTGGGATTACAGGTGTGAGCCACTGCGCCCAGCGGGTTTAAAACTTTAAAAGTTGGTTTATGATTTGTCTCAACATTGATGACTGAGTGTACAATGAATGTCACCAGTCCCCTTAATGTTCTCTATGGGTAAGTAGGATTCCAATGAAATAGAACTTCCAAATGAGGAATATGAAATAGGTTTTACAAATAAGATAAAATCCAATTTTTAAAAACTAAGCAAAAGTGTTTTTAAGGTGGCCCATATTAGCAGTTTCTCTGCTTAAAACAGAATTGGCTTTTCTGCATGACAGGAAATCTTTGTTTCCGTAGAGCAGGGTTTCTTGACAGCAGTGCTACTGGCATTTTAAACTGGATAATTCTTTGTTGTGGGGGGCTTTCCTGTGGACTGTACTATGTCAGTACACAAGAATGACAGTGTACTATGTGAATACTCACTCAAAGCACTCCCTGGTTGTAACAACCAAAAAAGTCTCCAAACATTGCCAAACATCCCCTCTGGGAGCACAATCACTCCCTGATGAGAACCACTACCCTGGAGTAAAATCTTTATGTCTTAGAAAATAACAGAAATTTAATAATTTTTTCACTCTACTCCTTCCATTAGCGATGAAATAAAGAAGGCACTTGGCGCTACTTGCCAAACAAATTTTTTGCTCAAACTTGTGCTGAACCTTTTCTGAAGTTTTCTACACTTAAATTTTCCTGCCTATGACCCAGAGAACTTTGAAAATAGAGTATAGTTAATGTGTATCAAATGTTACTTTATATTGACTTAATTTTCTCCCCTTAAATCCACAGCATAAAAAATCACATGGAAAAGACAAAGAAAACAGAGGCATTAATACACAGGAGAGGTCTAAAGTGGAAGAAACTACAGAGCACTTGGTTACAAAGAGCAGATTACCTCTGCGAGCCCAGATCAACCTTTGATTCACTTGGGGGCTGGCAATTTTATTTTTAAAGAAAACTTAAAAATAAAGCCTGAAACCCTAGAACTTTAGCCGTGTGTGTAGATGTTAAAAGAATATATATATATCAGCTGGGTGTGGTGGCTCACGCCTGTAATCCCAGCACTTTGGGAGGCTGACGTGGGTGGATTGCTTGAGCCTAGGAGTTTGAGACTGGCCTGGCCAACATGGCAAAACCTCGTCTCTACTAAAATACAATAATGAGCCAAACGTGGTGGCACACTCCTGTAATCCCAGCTACTGGGGAGGCTGAGGCACAAGAATCACTTGAACCCAGGAAGCAGAGGTTGCAGTGAGAGAAGATCACACCACTGCACTCCAGCCTGGGCAACAGAGCAAGATGCCGTCTCAAAAACAAAATTTTAAAAAGATATAAGGCAGAACTGTAAATTTAGCTGAATTTTGATATCTACCCGTTTTTCTGTCATCCCTATAGTTCACTTTGTATTAAGTTGGGTTTCATTTGGGATTTGCAATGTAAATATATATTTCTAGCTTTTCATATAAAGTTCTTTCATAACGAAAAGTATTTTTCTTGTATGTTATTAAGTAATGAATATATAAGAACTGTACTGTTCTTCTAGGCTTGAGTTTACATAGGTGAATATCACCAACATCTGGCCTTAGAAAAGGACCGTGTCTTTTTTTTTTTTTTTTTTTTTTTTTTTTTTTTTTTTTTTTTTTTTGCTATGACTGATGTATTTTCTTGCTTCCTTCCTAGACATTCCTATTTCGCTTTCTTGTCGGCTCACTCTTTCCCTTTTTATTTTTCACCAAACCATTTGTAGAGCTACAGAAGGTATCCTTTCTTATTTTTGGTAGCCAGAATTTTACCTAGGAATCTTTTAACAGGTTTTTAGTGGTTATTTTTAAAATCACTGTCAACAGTAAATCTAACCCTAGAAGTATCCCTTCTTTCAATATTTTTTGTTTCCCCGAGATGTGAAAGGGTTTCATTCCTTTAAGAGGCCTAACAGATTTGTCCTGACAGAGTTCACAAAACCTACTTCTCTAGAATGTGAATTGCTATTATGGGAGACTACCCAGAGATCTGACTAATAGCCCTGTGCCCACACTCTAATAAAACAGGCGTCCCCAAACTACAGCCCTCGGGCCGCATGCGGCCCCCTGAGGCCATTTATCTGGCCCCCCACCGCACTTCAGGAAGGGGCACCTCTTTCATTGGTGGTCAGTGAGAGGAGCACAGTATGTGGCGGCCCTCCAACGGTCTGAGGGACAGTGAACTGGCCCCCTGTGTAAAAAGTTTGGGGACACCTGCTCTAAAACTTACTGTGTCTTTCGGAGACGATCACAATGATTTAAAGACTTTTTGAAACTTCCAATTATGACTAAAAATTATATTCTTTTGTTTACATGTTGTTCCTTGCTTGTATATAATAAAATATGTATATGTATCTTTTTCTCAATTTAAATCTTAACCCTTAGAAGGGCCCTAGTATTTCTGATCTGGCAATCATATTTCTGGAAGTTGAGAATGTTTCAGCTTAAAGAACCAGAGCACTTGGAATATGTACAAAGAATAAATTTTGTGCCCATAACGTGTTTAGTGTGTAAATTTTAGAGACATTTGACTATGATAGCTAAATTAAACCAAACTCTATTGAAGAATTAGAAAATATGCTACAAGGAACTAAATTGACCTTGTAGAATTAATTATCTTAATAAAAATAATGGCTGTAATTTCTCTGCAAAATCAGATGTCAGCATAAGCTATAGATAGTATCTAATAAACTGCCCTCAGTAAATCCATGGTTAATGTGGTTTCTGCATTAACCTGCTTGCTCCATAATTTCTTATCTGGCAACAGGTATGTTTACAGAGTTAGGCAAGCTGCATTCACATTCCCAAAATAAAGTATGCAGGTACCATCAAAGAAGGACCATAGTAAACATGTAGGCTTTTAGTTGCACTCCAAGAGGCTATACTAGGTGCAAGGTTAGTGAGTAACAGGCCCTCACACAGCCTGAAGTCCAGCTTTAAGTCATCCCATTCCATGACTGCTTAAAAGTTATCTGAGAATGCTGATGCAACTAATTTCACTGCCTCACAGAAGCAAAAATAAATCTTCAGAGAAATTTAACTTGAGTCCAGCAATTAAAGACTATCCCGGGCAACATAGTGAGAGCTTGTCTCTACAAAAAAAAGAAAAATTTTAATCAGCTGGGCATGGTGGCACATGCCTGTAGTCCTAACCAGTTGGGAGGCTGAAGTGGAAGGGTCTCTTGAGCCCAGGAGTTTGAGGCTGCAGTGAGCTATGATCCAGCCTTGGCAACAGAGCAAGACCTTGTGTCTAAATATATGTAAGTCACTAAACCACTACAGCCCATAGCAAGTAACAAAAACAAACCCCGAGTAGTGAAGAATCTGGTTTCCAGAGTTACCATATTATAGTAAAGTAATATTCAGCTTTCAACAAAAAAACTATGAAGCATGCAAAGAAAGTATACCCCATTCACAGAAAAAATTAGAATAAACTATCTCTGAGGAAGCATTGGACTTACAGATAAATTTTGTAAATCAGTTGTCTCAAAAGTGCTCAGAGGTAAGGGAATACAGGGAAACAATGTCTCAGAGACATCAATGAAGAAATTATAAAAAGGAACCATAAAAACTAGGAGTTGAAAAGTGCAATAAAAAAGCAGGGGAAATCACTGAATGGTTCTAACAGCAGATATGATCAGGCAGTAGAAAGAATCAAGGAGGCTGAGGCAGGTGGATTACCTGAGGTCAGGAGTTCGAGACCAGCCTGGCCAACGTGGGGAAACCCCGTCTCTACTAAAAATACAAAAATTAGCCAGATGTGATGGTAGGCGCCTGTAATCCCAGTTGCTTGGGAGGCTGAGGCGGGAGAATTGCTTGAACCCAGGAGGTGAAGGTTGCAATGAGTGGAGATGGTGCCACTGCACTCAAAGCTGAGTGACAAAGTGAGACTCTGTCTAAAAAAAAAAAAAATCAGTGAAGCTGAAGGTGGATCCATTGAAATCATCCAATCTGAAGAGCAGAAGAACAAAGGAAAGAAACAATTTAAAAGACCTATGAATTACCACCAAGCATACCAACCTTTGCAAAATAGGAGTTTCAGAAGGAGAGGAGAAGAGAAAGGGGCAGAAAGACTATTTGAAGAAATAACGACCCAAATACCTAAAATTTGTGAAAACACTTGAATGTACACATCCAAGAAGTTTGTGGAGCTCCAAATAGGATAAGCCAGAAGAGATCCATATTAAGACACACATAAACTGTCCAAAGCTGAAGAGAGGATCTTGGAAGCAGTAAAACAGTGCCATGAGAGAAATGCAGATCAAAATCACAGTGAGATACCACTTCACATTTATGAGGATGGCTATAACAAAAAATACAGGGGAAAAAAAAAGTGGTGTTGGGGATGCTGGAAAATGGGAATCTCTTTTTTTTTTTTTTCTTTCTGAGATGGAATGTTGCTCTGTCGCCCAGGCTGGGTGCAGTGGTGCGATCTTGGCTCACTGCAACCTCCGCCTCCTGGGTCCCAGTGATTCTCCTGCCTCAGCCTCCAGAGTAGCTGGGATTACGGGTGCCCACCATCACACCCAGCCAATTTTTTTTTCTGGCTAAATTTTATATTTTTAGTAGAGATAGGGTTTCACCATGTTGCCCAGGCTGGTCTTGAACTCCTGACTTCAAGTGATCCACCTGTCTTGGCCTCCCAAAGTAGTGGGATTTTAGGTGTGAGCCACTGTACCTGGCCTGAAAATGGGAACCATTGTACATTCCTCATGGGAGTGTAAAATGGTTCAACCACTATAGACAGAGTTTGGTGGTTCCTGAAAAAGGTAAACAGAATTACCATATGGCCCAGCAATTCCATTCCTAGCTGTGTGCCCAGGATAAAACATGCCTCCACAAAAATTTATACACAAATGCCTATACCAGCACTATTAACAATGACCAAATGGTGTAAACAACCCAAATGTCCATCAATATATGAATGGATAAACAAAATGTAGCATACACATATGACAGATTACTCAGCCATAAAGATGAAGTACAGATATCTGCTACCATATGGATAAACCTTGAAAACATGCTAAGTGAAAGAAGTAAGATACAATAGTTCACATATTCTATGATTCCACTTTTATGAAATATCCAGAATAAGTAAATTCATAGAATCAGCAGACTGGTGTTAGTTAAATCTGGTATGAGGAGGGGAATGAAGAGGGACTGCTTAATAGGCATGGGATTTTCTTCTGGGGTGTTGGAAATATGCTGGAACTAGCCTGTAATCCCAGCACTTTGGCCAAGGTGGGTGGATCACCTGAGGTCAGGCCAAGGTGGGTGGATCACCTGAGGTCAGGAGTTTGAGACCAGCCTGACCAATCAATTTTAGTACAAAATTTTAGTAATTTTGTACTAAAAATATAAAAATTAGCCCCGTGTGCTGTTGGGTGCCTGTAATCCCAGCTACTTGGGAAGCTGAGGCAAGAGAATCACTTGAAACTTGGGAGGCAGAGGTCCAAATACATTCACACTGAGAGGGTTTCAATATGTGGATTGGCAGCAGGGCACAATTAAGTCTATAGCACTGTATAAACCCTAATCAGGATAAATACAAAGTCACACTTAGGTATACCAGAGCAAAACTGCTAAAAACCAAAGATAAAGAAATACCTTAAAAGTAACCAAAGAGCAGAGGCAGGTAGATTGCTTTGAGCCCGGGAGATCAAGACCAACCTAGGCAACATGGCAAAACCCTGTCTCTATTAAAAATACAAAAACGTGCCTATAATCCCAGCTACTCAGGAGGCTGAGGCAGGAGAATTGCCTGAACCCAGGAGGCGGAGGTTGCGGTGAGCTGAGATCGCGCCATTGCACTCCAGCCTGGGTAACAAGAGCGAAACTCCGTCTCAAAAAAAAAAAAAAAAAAAAAAACAGCTGAGCGTGGTGGTACATGCCTGTAGTCTCAGCTACTCAGGAGGCTGAGGTGGGAGGATGGCTTGAGCCCAGGAGATGGAGGTTGCAGTGAGCTGAAATCATGCCATTGCATTCCAGCCTTGACAGAGTCAGACCCTGTCTCAAAGAAAAAAAAAGTAACCAAGGAGAAGAAAGATTATTTTAATAGGAACAATTAAGCTGACTGTGATTTTGCAACAGAAAGAACGAAAGCAGACAATGGCCTGATACTTCCAAATTACTGAATGAGGTGATGTCAGTAGGAATGGTGGAGTAAGTCCTCTAAAAACCTATTCCTCCATAAAAGCAGTGAGAATATTGAGATAACTCGTTGAATAAAAAATTTCAGAATTCTGAAATTAACCAAAGCTTTGCAATAATCCAAGGAACTTTTTTTTTAAGGTTGTATCTTAGTAAGAATGATGAGTTTTGTGGGTTTTTTTTTTTTTTTTTTTTTTTCAGATAGAGTTTTGCTCTTGTTGCCCAGGCTGGAGTGCAATGGTGCAATCTCGGCTCAATGCAACCTCCACCTCCTAGGTTCAAGCAATTCTCCTGCCTCAGCCTCCCG